CTGCTGCACACTTGAACCTACTCTAGTGGTTCTCAACCATTGATCATTGATGTTTTGCTGACCCCCTGTGGATCGGCGGAGGTGATGGAGGGCCCCGTTCGTAATAATGAATCTAAAAAAAAAAAAAAGTGAAAGCCGCTTACAACTCCCTGTAACGCCGAATTAGAGCGCAGCTCTTGAGGAGGAGGAGGGAAGGGCGCTGGGGGGGGGGGTTAGACTAACCAGGGGGGGGGCCACGTGACCCCCAATGCCAATGATGTCATCACTGACGTCACTGATGATGTCATCAGTGACGATGACGATGCGGGTACCGATGACGTCATTAGTGACGTCACTGATGACTTTACCAGTGATGATGACGATGCGAATGTCGGTGACGTCATCAGTGACGTCGCTGACGACGTCATCAGTGATGATGACGATGACGATGCGGATGCCGGTGACGACATCAGTGACGTCACTGATGACGTCATCAGTGATGATGACGATGACAATGCGGATGTCGGTAACGTCACCAGCATCCACATCGTCATCGTCATCATCACTGATGACGTCACCGGCATCCACATCGTCATCGTCATCATCACTGATGACGTCACAGGCATCCACATCGTCATCGTCATCATCACTGACGACGTCACCGGCATCCGCATCGTCATCGTCATCATCACTTATGACGTCACCGGCATCCACATCATCATCGTCATCATCACTGATGACGTCACCGGCATCCACATCGTCATCGTCACTGATGACGTCATCATCATTGATGACGTCATCACTGATGACGTCACCGGCATCCACATCGTCATGTCATCATCACTGATGACGTCACCGGCATCCACATCATCATCGTCATCATCACTGATGACGTCACCGGCATCCGCATCGTCATCGTCATCATCACTGATGATGACGTCATCAGTGATGATGACGATGACGATGTGGATGCCGGTGACGTCATCAGTGTCGATGACGTCATCGGGGGGTCACGCGACATCGGCGGGGGTCACGTGACCTCGAGGAGGGGGTCACGTGACCTCAGGGGAGTCACGTGACTTCGGGGGGTCACGTGACCTCGGGGGGGGTCACGTGCCCCCCACGAAGTCACGTGACCCCGGTGGGGGGCTCGCGCGGTGCATTATGGGACATTTCCCATGATGCACCGCGCGGTTACGCCGACGCCGACGCCGACGGCGACGGCGACGCCGACGGCAACGGCGACGCCGACGCCGCTCAAGCCGGAAACGGGCCCCTAAGAGCTGCGCTCTAAAAATTTGTAGAGCCTTCCCATTTTACGTGAAGATGGAGAACCAGCGAAGCTGTTAGCTGCGTTCGATTTACACACACGTCTTGTACCAGTGCAGAAAAGTGTAGGGCAGTATACTACCGGGTATGCATGTGTATTTAGATACGACTGGAAGTACACCGCCATACACATTTCTGCACCGGTGCAGGAGGTGTGAGTAAATCGAACGCAGCTGTTATTTTTACGGCGTTTAGGACGGCGCCTAGACGACGACGTCTAGGACGACCACAAGGACGACCTCAAGGACGACTTCTAGGACGACCTCGAGGACCACGTCTAGGACGATATCAAGGACGCTTCTAAGATGACCTCGAGGACGATTTCTAGGACGACCTCGTGGACGACTTCTAGACCAACCTCGAGGACGACTTCTAGGACGACCTCGAGGACGACTTCTAGAACAACCTCGAGGACGACTTCTAGGACGACCTCGAGGACCACGTCTAGGACGACCTCAAGGACGCTTCTAAGATGACCTCAAGGACGATTTCTAGGACGACCTCGTGGACGACTTCTAGACCAACCTCGAGGACGACTTCTAGGACGACCTCCAGGACGACTTCTAGAACAACCTCAAGGACGACTTCTAAAACGACCTCGAGGACCACGTCTAGGACGACCTCAAGGACGCTTCTAAGATGACCTTGAGGACGATTTCTAGGATGACCTCGTGGACGACTTCTAGACCAACCTCTAGGTCGACTTCTAGGACGACCTCGAGGACGACTTCTAGAATAACCTCAAGGACGACTTCTAGGACGACCTCGAGGACCACGTCTAGGACGACCTCAAGGACGCTTCTAAGGTGACCTCGAGGACGATTTCTAGGAGGACCTCGTGGACGACTTCTAGACCAACTTCGAGGACGACTTCTAGGACGACCTCGAGGACGACTTCTAGAACAACCTCAAGGACGACTTCTAGGACGACCTCGAGGGCCACGTCTAGGACGACCTCAAGGGCGCTTCTAAGATGACCTCGAGGACGATTTCTAGGACGACCTCGTGGACGACTTCTAGACCAACCTCGAGGACAACTTCTAGGACGACCTCGAGGACGACTTCTAGAACAACCTCAAGGACGATTTCTAGGACGACCTCGAGGACCACGTCTAGGACGACCTCAAGGACGCTTCTAAGATGACCTCGAGGACGATTTCTAGGACGACCTCGTGGACGACTTCTAGACCAACCTCGAGGACGACTTCTAGGACGACCTCGAGGACGACTTCTAGAACAACCTCAAGGACGACTTCTAGGACGACCTCGAGGACCACGTCTAGGACGACCTCAAGGACGCTTCTAAGATGACCTCGAGGACGATTTCTAGGACGACCTCGTGGACGACTTCTAGACCAACCTCGAGGACGACTTCTAGGACGACCTCGAGGACGACTTCTAGAACAACCTCAAGGACGATTTCTAGGACGACCTCGAGGACCACGTCTAGGACGACCTCAAGGACGCTTCTAAGATGACCTCGAGGACGATTTCTAGGACGACCTCGTGGACGACTTCTAGACCAACCTCGAGGACGACTTCTAGGACGACCTCGAGGACGACTTCTAGAACAACCTCAAGGACGACTTCTAGGACGACCTCGAGGACCACGTCTAGGACGACCTCAAGGAAGCTTCTAAGATGACCTTGAGGACGATTTTCAGGACGACCTCGTGGACGACTTCTAGACCAACCTCGAGGACGACTTCTAGGACGACCTCGAGGATCACGTCTAGGACGACCTCAAGGACGCTTCTAAGATGACCTCGAGGACGATTTCAAGGACGACCTCGTGGACAACTTCTAGACCAACCTCGAGGACGACTTCTAGGACGACCTCGAGGACGACCTCGAGGACGACTTCTAGAACAACCTCAAGGACGACTTCTAGGACGACCTCGAGGACCACGTCTAGGACGACCTCAAGGACGCTTCTAAGATGACCTCGAGGACAATTTCTAGGACGACCTCGTGGACGACTTCTAGACCAACCTCGAGGACGACTTCTAGGACGACTTCTAGAACAACCTCAAGGACGACTTCTAGGACGACCTCGAGGACCACGTCTAGGACGACCTCAAGGACGCTTCTAAGACGACCTCGAGGACGATTTCTAGGACGACTTCTAGAACAACCTCGAGGACGACTTCTAGGACGACCTCGAGGACGATGCCCAGAGATGGTAACAAGGGATCAGGACCTCACTATCTAATGATGCCAAGGAAGGCTGACTCACGCTGACCCCCTCTTTTTATTTTTGTTTATTCATACTTGCCACGACCAATGGGGTGTTTCCCATCAACATCCGCGGACACAATTTTTCCCAGATCCTAAGGCATGACAGCTTCGCCGTAAAAATGCTTTTATTGCCGGGCTCGACTGACGAGGCAGGGCTTCGCGGTAAGAGTAGTAAGATGAGGACGGTATTTTCACGCGCACACCCCGAAATCCTGTGCTGTCCGAAAGCGTGTTATACACCTGAAAATTGTACGCGGCAATGAAACTAAGATAAGTTTCACTCACAGTGATATACTTTTGTTTATTTGTAATGGTAAATATTTTATTTAAAGTATCTGAGCTGAAAACATAAAGATCGACTGCACTAGAACCCAATGCCTCAAAAGGAAACAAAAACAAAAAGCAAATATTTTTCGGCTTATTGTTTCCTGTCGATGCTTACATGCTCCTACATAAAATTAAAACCTTATTTTTATTGTTTTTTGACCGTTGTGAGTTGCAGGCTTCTTACTACTGCAGCCGTCTTCACTAAAAAAAAAAAAAAAAAAGGCTTTCCACAACAATTTTTTGCATGATACAGTATGATTTGCAACTAATTACAATAGTTTATTTTTCAGCTTCTGGCGAGCAATTTTCCCTCGCAATATTTTGCCATCAAGGGAAGATGGCACAACGGCGCATGTGCGTGAAGCTCCTGCAAGAACGACGGTTGCTTCCCGCAGTGCTTGGCAAGATAATGACATACCATCGAGATTGACACATTTATCAGCGACCTCCGCGGTTCCCCGTTGCCCGTTCTTCGGAAGCGTCATAATTTGCGCAGTGAATGTTACGACAATGTGAAATGCGGGACATTTGGAAGATTTTGGAATTTCTTGCGGGACGCGGGACACGAGCCCTCACTGCGGGACAGTCCCGCGAGTCGCGGGACGGGTGGTCACCCTACCCCGATTTGAGAACCACGTTTACAGTTCTACTCTACGGCCTGCTCATCACGTCGTGTCTGTCGAGTCGGCATCCAGTTCACACTCATGTACACACCGAGAAGGGAAAAAAAAAAAAAAAGCCGAAGTCGGAGGTCGGTAAATTTTTTACACGCGGAAGCCGCACACGGTTTCGCAGAGCCTGTTCCTGTCCGCGAACGAGCGACTCGCACGGACGAAACCAGATCAAGCGTGCTTCCTGTTCGAAAGAATCCTCACTCGCCTTAAAAAAAAAAAAAAAAAAAAAATATATATATATATATATATTTTTTAGCTCTCTACCAATCTAGCTTGGTTTAGTTTTATTTATTTATCTGCGGTGATATGTGCGGCTTTGAACTTTTGAACGGCCGTGCTCACGCGCGCCAGCCAAAGAACAGTGTGTTTTTGTTATTTAACTTATTTTTCGGTGTCACGCTGTCGTGCGAAAACCAAGGTGGCGCTCGAGTAGCATCAATGTCGATGTTTTTTGTGTCGTTTTTTTTTTATTTGGACATGTCGGCGGAGCAGCTGTAATGCTTATTTTGTTGTGGTCGTACCGTGCCACGAAGTCCCGTAAAGCAATGAAAACCACGCGTCCGATTTCCGCATTCTAATCAGGCGGTCGCACACCGCTTGTGAGCGTGAATACTCCCATGGCGTCCGCCAGTGAAGAAAAGTGACGGCGTGGTGCCGACCGACCTCGCTTCTGCGTGGGGCTGCTATGAGTGGGAACGCGGATTGCCGTGATTTCTCGTGCCCTTGCGGTGCCTGTCTACGTACGGTGGCCCTTATTGCCCTGCTTTTGGAACCTCTCAGGGACGGCATGCCGCGGGAGCTATGATACGACTGAGGTTCGGCACCACAATCCTGCAAGTGCGGAGGTCAGCGGCATGCATCGTAGCCGCCTGCATTCTGCTCGGGTTTACGGGCTTCTACATCTACTTCAGCAGGCTCCTTCCCAGCGCCACCGGACTCGCAGGATGGTCTCCAGGCAAGGTACGTCTCGCAGTGTGCTCGGTTCGAAGCACCAAGTAGACTCTACGCATCGACGGCGCCGAGCGCTGGCAAAAGTCGGGCGCGTTGGTCGAGAAGCGCGAGCGAACACAAACAGCCCCGAACGCACCAGAGGCACATAACACCTTCGTAGTCGGCGCCAAACACGCTGCGGGTGCCGGTCGCATAATTTTGGCTAAATTCTGTTTCCGGAGTGATAAAATACATGGCCCAGAAGTTACGTGGCTTTGCCCTTGCTTCCAAATAAAACCTTAACTGTCGTGGGAAGCGGCCTAAGCACCGGTTTGTGATAGGAGAAAGTAGTGAAAAATTACCTTTTTTTATTCACGAGGTTGATAGGTTGATGGAATTAATATATCCAGTGACATCTTGGTGTTTCAGAAGAAAGTGGAAAGGATTTCTTTATTACATTTCTTTAAGTTTTTTAAGGTAGTCGTAGTCGTTTTATCGTGGCAGCTTGAAAGCTTCCATCCGGCACGGGCCGCCGTGCTGGAATGCTCAGAATAAAAGTTTATTTTCTCTTGAAAATTAACTGGCTGAAACCTACCGTAATATCACTTCTGTCAGCTACTGTTTTGTTCTTTCTGTAGACAATGTGAAAGTGAAACATTTTATGGGCCCCTATTTTATGGAACGTGTGCGGGAACCAGCTGCTACCAATGAATCACGATCGTGTGTTCGTATTTGTGTAACTACTTCATGACACCGCGAAAAGGCGGCTCCTTTTGGTCTTTTTAAAAGCCTAATGCCCGCGACATATATTTCTTGCGAAGGTCTGGCAGTCGAACAACTCTTGGCATGCTTGTCATCCTGCCTGCATTCTGTACACCCAACACATAAAGTAACATAAAAGCTTTTCTTTTTCTTACCATAGCCTATCACAACACAGGACAGTGATATCCCAATCCATTAACAGTGGAGGAATGCAGGTTTCACGGTTGACTACGAATGAAAGAAAACAGATTTCACAATTAATAATTATGATCATTTTTCTTTTCACGTGTACCCAAAGCAGCCCATGAATCTTCCCTTTGGTGTACAAATCAAACGCTGAAATATGTTTGGTGTATATATAAGGTGTCCAAAATAACCAGGCTTGATCTAAAAGGGGCCATAAAAATCGGTGCCTGCACGCAGCAATCTAAACTTTTCGTCAGAAGTGTATTTTACTGGTCGGTTTTATCTTGTAAAATTAAAGAGCGTAGGTTCCTTTCTGTAGAAAAAAAATGAGGCCAAAAATCTTGCCAGGGCGGACAGTGACGCAACGGCTACGGCCAAACTTAACGAAATGTAATAAAGAAATCCTTTCCACTTTCTTCTGAAACACCAAGATGTCACTGGATATATTAATTCCATCATTATCAGAACGATTAGATGGGGATTGCTAGCATGACATATGTAGCTTCGTCTAAGAAATGTACCAAATTGATTTACACTTTTTTTCTTTTTTTTACAGTTATAAGTTACTTAGAGGTTGACGGATGTGTCCACTTCTTCACATACTCCCCCTGGAGCCAAACGCACTTGCACCCCCGGTGTAGCAGCCTTTTCACACCCTGCCAAAACCACTTTTTGGAAGACTGTTGCGTCCAGTCCTGGACATCTGCTTCTAGCTCATCAGTAATTGCAAAATGACATCCTTGGGGGGCTCCTTTCATGGCTTGGAAGGGCCACAAAACGGGAGCCAGACCGTGCCATATACATGCACGACCAAGCGTCTGACAGGTCATATGACACGTCGCAATAATGGAAAAACTCAACCAGGCACCATGCATGTGCTAGCCCAATCTGCAAGGATGCCATTTCATTGTCACTGATGTGCTGGAAGCGGCTCTCCAGACGTGAGTGCAACACACTTCCAAAAAAAGTAGTTCCGCAGGTCATGAAAAGGCTGCCACATCGATGGTGTAATTTTCATTTCAAAGCTGCGCATGCTGTGGGATTGTCCCACCTTATACTATACTACCCTATTCGATCAAGCCTTGCTCCAGTTGTTCCCAAGGAAGTCACACAACAGAGCAAGTTCAATCAAACAGTTTATCAACTAACATTCCATTGCCCCAAGTCCCGTTCCCCTCCGGTGGCGGCGGCAGCTGAACAGCTTTTTTTATGAATCAAAGCTCTTAACTAAAGACTACCTGTGAGTCGAGACTTTCTACTCAAAACCTCTGATGAGGGCTCTTGAAAGAGACCCCATGGAGACTGTCCCTCTAAGACTCCTAACTGAAGACCGTCAAATGAAGCTCCCAAATGAGGACTGTCCCAGCCTCCGCCTGCTATATCCTTATATAGCCAGCCTGACTCCTTTGTCTCCTGCCCCTCTCGCTCACACCGAGACTCTCATGCCTATATAAGGCCACCGGCGAGCTCCACAGCGCCTGTCTGGCGAGAAATCCCGGCTCGGCCCTGTAACGCAAACCTCAATGGATGTTCACCGGTAGGCAAGCGGGGCATGCCATCTTCGGTGCTATTTGCGTGGCGGGGTTCAAGAGGCCCCAGACTGGCGGGGATTGTCGGCTTCGGCACTGGAGACGATGGAGGAGTCTGAGTATTCACACCGGCGGGGAATGTGGGCTTCGGCACCGGGCATGTGGAGGCAAAGCCAAAGGTTCTCCACAACGCTCACTATTCACTTCTGAAATGCCGCAGAAAGTTGTCCCCGAGCATAGCGGCATTCCTCTTCATTCATTCTTTGCTCTTCATTCAAGAAAACCCCCCAGTGCCTCTCATACATTATGTGGGGGTCACAATGCAATATAAAACAAATTGACATTCTTGCAGCACACTGCTTCCAATGGTAATGAATTCCACTCCAGTATTCCTTAAAATCCCAAGGGAGTGCTTACCCCACTTTCACTGAAAGCTGGGTTAACCTAGACAGAGGTGCTTGTCTGGTAAAATCGGGTGCTTAAAGTATAATTTGCAGAATTCCCAAGTTTGGGAAATATTAATAGTGGGCGCTCGAACGATGTGAGCACTTCTGTGGTATTTTACGGTAGTATGCACAAAGGTGAGTGTTTAAGAATATTCGCCCTGGCGGCACACGGCCGATCTTTGCAAGAGTGGTCTGCTCAAGGTGAGGTATAATGCGACAACTTTAAGTACAATGAAGCAGAAATTCCTTTCTGTTTACGATAAATCGACTAGAAAAGCCAGAGTCTGAGACGTCTATGCACCTCTCCTAAGAAACCCAGCCCAACTCTCGCTTCATTTTTGTTGCTCTCAAGAAGCGATCATACCTCCCCAGGACAAACCAAGCAGTGGCAGATTGAATGCACTCAAGTCCATTGAGACAAATGCATAAAACCGGATCCCTCGGGGGGGCAAGCACATTTTATAATTGGCTTCACTCATGCTCGATGTGCGGCTGTCGTGAAAAGCTAAAAGACCTTGCCGACCTGCGGCCACAACCCTCCGCCCGCAGGTGGATGTGGTGGCGCTGGAGCAGCGGCTGCAGCGCCTGGAGAGAGAGCTGCGCCACAACCACGCCATGCTGACCCAGATCCGAGAGACGGTGCTCAACTTCCTAGGGACTGGCGGCAACGCCCCTTGGAAGGCTCCCCTCAAGCCGCACCTGCTCTGGCTGCACAATGCCACCCGGCAGCCAGTGCCCACCCAGCCGGGGGACTGTGCCTTCGGCATGCTCCCACCTGCCAGCACCGACTACAACGTGAGTGCGCCGCTTTTGTCTTTCGCACATTGTGTTGCGAGAAAATCCTTTTCTAAATCTGTTGCGCAGAAATATACCAAGTTATTTTTTTTTTTTTAAGTGATTAAATATATTGTTGTAGATTATGCATTCCTTTATTTTGGAGCAGATACAGAGGGAAAGGGGTATGTAGTTCTGAACATTGTCTTTTTGGGCCATTTTTATGTATGGCTACCATACTTAAGTAGTAATTCAATCACGGTAATTTAATTACTGTAATTTAATTACTTGGTAATTTGTAATTGTAATTAATTACTTTCTGCTAAAAGGAAATGTAATTGTGCTTTAATTACTTTTTAGCATCAATAATTGCAAAATTTCAGGCAAAATTTTCAATTATTTTTGCGAGACTTTGTGGAGCCGACGGAACCTCTCTGAAAGCCTCAGCGCTCGCACAAGCGGCCTAGCGCTCAGTTACACACTCGCACCCATAGACACGCACAACAAAAATAGTATTGCATTGTTTGTTGTTTTGTTGCTTACACTGCGGGCTGAGAGACAATTTTCTTTGGAGTCTACTTCAGCAGTGCCGTGTGGCGCCATCTGGAAAGTGAGCAGAAAACAGTTGCGTTTACATGCCAAAATATTCAAAGAAAAAAAATTAAGCCTCAGCTTTCAACCGCGCTTAGAAATTTTAATTGCCTATAAAGTTCTTTTTTTTCTTTTTTGGCCACTTTTATAGGTCTTTTTTCCAGTACTGTCGCCGTATTTGTATCTTCGTATTATTTGCAAGTTTATTTCCTGTTGGTTTTACTTCGGATATTATTTGCATAAGCATTTCGAAGATTGACCTCGCACCTGTGAATATTGTCACCAATGATTCGGAAGCCCCGATTCAACTTTTCTATATTTCTGAGCCATTATAATTCAACTCGATGTAAATAATTTACTATATCATAATGTTTGTACGTGAATGCAGTCGTATTAGCGTGTGTGGACTTTAGTTTTATAATAATACTTGTAAAATATTCAGATATGACTAATTGTCGCATTTTTATTCCCGGGCTAACAAAACTCTATCAACCCAATTTTTTCTATTGCGATCTGGCGTCTTCCAGCATGGGAACTAATTTATTATTATTTGTTAAAATTATAAGAACATAGTACTTCATTGCCCCAAACTGTCAAGTTCAATCATGAATTTAACAAAATTCTTAAAAGGAAAGTACAATATGTGGCGTTTGTGCAGCGATGCTTAAGCCTCCTCAAACATTGGGGCAAGGAATGAACAAATACATTGCATTTTTTACAACTCGTTTAAAGTTATATGGCCCAAGTCGAGTCACTCTCAGAATTAAGTAATTGTAAAGTAATTGCATTACCTTTTAAAAGTAATTTGTATTTGTAATTAAGTTCTTTTCATGTAGCAGTAATTGCAGTTAAACTACTTTTAAAGCAAAGTAATTGTAATTGAATTACATTTTCAAAGTAATTTACCCATATATGATCGCTACTATGTTTTCTGTTTTCCACTGGCTAGAAAGCCTTCCAATTGAAAGGAACTTTTTAAGGGGGGACACTACCCAGAGAAAAAAAATTCTGCAAAAAATATTGATTTTGAAAAATTACATCCATCCATCTGCATCCAGAGAGTATTCTTAGAAATTTTCACTAGTTCACACTGTATAGTTAATTTTTAATAAATTATGTTCTGTTCACCTCAGCTAAAGAAAAGGTAGGGTTTGGAGCATTTTGAACACATTTTTCTCCGTTCCACTTTTTGGTATAAATTCCATTTTAGTCAATCTATCGTTTGATAATGGCAATACAGGGAAGGCCGACAGGCCTGAAATATTGTTATGCACCCTCTAGCATGACCACCAGCCTACCCTGAAAATTTCATGAATATTAAGCCAAGGGTTCAGGAGTTGACCCTCCTAGGGGGTGTCTCCCCTTAAGCAAGACTTCTAAATAGGATGAGATGTTTTCAGAACATGATGAAAGAACACAATTGGGTGTGCCATCACAACCAGCAGTTTTGTCTAGCTTGAATCCGTTTACAAAATTCAAAATTCCGTCATAAAAAATTTTAGTTTCATCATTCCTTTTTTTTAGGAACCCTTCATGAGAAGTTTGATGTTTGGTGGTAACTACAGATGAAAATACAGAATTAAAATAATTATGGAAAAGTGTACCTCTCTCACCTTCTTTCTTTACAAGTTGACCGCAATCATTAATTGAATGAATACTGATAGGCGCATTGTCTTTTTACTTAACATATTTCCAAAGTTCTTTGGTGTTTGTTTGCAGTCTGTCACGCTGAGACACATAAAATTTAAGTTTGCATTCTTGCGATTTCATTTTGAAGTGTTTATTTCAAATGTTTAATTGTACACGAGAAAATGTATTTTTTTCTGACAATATTTCAAGTATGTGCACCTCTTTATTTTAACCAAAGAAATCAATTTCCTGTTCATTCAAGGCTTGTCTCTATTCTACGCCGACTGGAACTGATTTATTTGGAGGGGATGAATGCATTGACTAAGGAGTTTACTTTATTTCTGGGAAGGTTTCAAAGAGTTTCAGTGTCAAGTTGGTGAGAGAGCTCTCTAAACTCAGAAAAATAGTCACATTTGAAATATCCTCATAACTTCTGTGCTCGTAAAAAAAAAAAAAGGCTTTTTAGGTAGATTTGGTTTCTTGGTTTCACGTATGCTGGTTGTTCCTCCAACTACGATTTCGTGGTCACTAATTCCAGGAATGCTAGAGATAGACAATATTGGACCCTTCCTGTTGCTAAAATGTGAATCCAAAGTGGTTGCCCTCATTCCTAATCTTGTTGGGTATGATACATGCTGGCATAACGCCAAACTTAATACAAAGTTAAGAAATGTCTTGCAAGCCTGAATGAAATCCCGCAATACAAGTTGACCGCCTGCCCACTCCACGCCAGGAAAGTTAAAATTTGTGCTTTGCACTGGCCCCTGATAGGCGACATACAAAATCCAGCACTACAGCCTTTTTTTCTCTTAGGAGGAGTTGAGTGAGTCTCTTGTTGTGGAAGAATGTGCTGGAAACAGGTGGAAAGAGGACAAACTCCTGGTTGGGAGGAAAATGGGAGACACGAAATGACAGGGTCAAAGCTTAGCTTTAGCAGGGCCTTCTTTCAGAAACACTATGTACAATGACGGTTGTGCCGTCGAGGCACAAAATGCATCCCAGGTGTATTTATGCAACATCGGCGTGAAGACAGGAATTACAGGAAAACCTATTGCTTCATTGCACATGGAACAGCATTTAGTTCCTTGGTTTAAAGACAAAAATAGAAATAAACTATGGCCCGTTTTCGATACTACTATCTAGTGCCAATATCATGTTTCAACATATCCATGCCATGCAAAATGAGCACCTTCGTTTTCCAACCTCATCTGACACTAAGTAATCAGTGGACGGTTTGTTCAGTACCAATGAACAAGTTGTTCAGACCGTCTTTCTCTCTCACGCAGATGTACGACCTGTACGAGAAGCTGGCCTTTGACAACCCCAATGGCGGAGTCTGGAAGCAGGGCTGGGACCTCCAGTACCAGCCGGACCAGTGGTCGAGGGACAGGAAGCTCAGGGTTTTTGTGGTCCCACACTCCCACAACGACCCAGGTGCGTCCAACCATTTGTCAGGACGATAGCTGCTCTTGTTGAAGCAACCATGAAAAGATTTTCAGCAGTTTGCAAACAATATCTTCTGCAGTGGGACACAAGTGTTTTACCATGAAACTTTCCTATAAGGCGGTTCGTGGTTTTCTTTCAGTGACATTTGACTAACAAACTTAGGTTTTTAAATACTAATAATGTTTTTTAGTAACATTCTTAATTCTCATTTTGTAAACTGGCAGTAACTTTTTAGGACTATGTTAGCTCTGAAACTATTACAGTGACCACATGAAACTTGGCAATATTTTTTCATTTACAACAGATATTGCTTTGTACTTAGATTATATTTCATAACTTGCATCTCCCCAGGGCACCATCACGTTTGGGCCCCACAGTATCATGCAGGCTACTTTCACTGTGCAGCAGCATGCTATCCTTACAGTGTCTTTTTTTAAAATGGAACATTCTGTGGCTAGGTGTTTGGTATTTCATGATGCCCAAATAAAAGCGTGACCGTGAGCCTCGACATGGATTGATTTTGAGGGGGGGGAAGAGGCCATTGCAGTAAAAAAGCGTTTGCACCAGGCGAAAATCAAACCCAGACCGTTTGGATTATTCAGCAAGTGTTTTTCCAGCACATCACTACACATTGCCGTGAGTTGAGGTGCTGTTAACGTGAAACATTCTTTGGCTAGGCGTTTGGCATTTCGTAAAGCCCAGATAAAACTGGGGCCACGAGGCTCGACACTGATTGGTTGACGGGTTGGAGAGGAGGAGTGAGGTGCTCAACACCGATCAGTTAACAAATAGGTCAAGTGACCAGAGGTGTAAGCGAGGAGGAGTGAGGTAGGCGAGGTGGAGCTCGACCACCTGTGCACCCTGAGTGAGAGGAACTCGAGAGTATGAAAGGCTCTAGAAGATTGTCAGGTTTATCAGCCCGATTGGCGGTAGTATCGCTTTGTTCTAGGAGCAACTGTCAAGTGTACACATGTTATGCATTAAACTATCTGATGAAGAGGGTCGTGAACTTAGGCGTCTGGCTTCTGAAAACTGAGTATCGCTAAACGTTTATGATGCTAGAACGTTTCAGGTATGCCACATAATTGCCTAGCGATTTGACATAAATTTTTAAATAACTAGCTTCCGTTTGGCTTCAGGGTGGCTCAAGACATTCGACAAGTATTACCACGACCAAACAAAGAAGATCTTGGACAATATGGCGGTAAAGTTGGGCGTGAATGCCACCCGGCGTTTCATCTGGGCAGAGATCTCCTACTTCTCGGTGTGGTTTGACGAGCTCAGTGAAGAGATGAAAGCAAGGATTCGTGGGTGAGTCACCTTGGTGGTCCTGGCACTTGCTCGAAAATCTCATCTAAAAAGTGAACTGCACAAATCATGTAGGTTGGTGCTATATACGTTGACTTTTAAGGTGGCACAGATCCTCAACATGATGGAATTTTATGGTTGTGCGGCTTGTTGCCTAAAGGGCCATTTTTGAGATCCTCCCTTTATGGTCATAACTCAATTCACGGGCTCCAAGCATCCTAAGAAACTCTAAATTACATTCATGTGTGGAAAACTCCACATTGGTTGTGGCAAGTATGAATAAATAAATAACAAAAAGAGGGGGCAACCAGCGTGAGTCAGTCTTCCTTGGCATTATTAGATAGTGAGGTCCTGATTCCTTGTTATCATCTCGAGGCATAGTCTTCGAGGTCGTTCTAGAATAGGGATGCCACGAACCACCCGAGGTTCGATTTCGAAAGGTTTCGATATTTTCGAACCGAACTGATGTTCGATTTCGAAAAATTTAGATATTTTTGACTGTACAAAGATTCGAATTAGAAAAATTCACAACTTTCAAAAATCGTGGAGTTTCGAATTCGAAAAGTTTGAAGCTTTCACGGTTTCTAAAAGTTTGGATTCCATTATTTCGAATATCTTTTACTGGAGGTTGGAGAAATTCGAAGATGTCGAATTTTCCTAACTTCAAAATCGAGATTCGATTGTTTCGAATTTCTTTGGATTTTAAATTCGAAAATTTCGAACGTTTCGAATTTTTATAGACATAAAGTTCAATATATTCGAATATTTCGAATTTCTTTCTACATAAAGTTTGAAAAGTTCGAAGGTTTCGATTCTCTATTAGCGCTAAATTCGACGAAAAAAACCCAAAAAAACTGAGGTTTCGAATTTCTTTCAAGTCCAAGGAGGGCTCCAGTCTCTCCCATAGAGTTATTATAATAAACGCTAGAGGCTCAGCTGGCGCTAGTGTCTACGGGACTTGCGGTTGCAAATTGAAGGAGACAGCATGCAGTCTACTTTTCCAGTCTTCCTGTGTATTCCTCTGGGAAAACGCGCGTGAATTTAGTCTCGTCGCCGGCAAATAACATGAATAACTTTTGTCATTTCGGTTGTACCGAATAGAATGTACCTCTATTAATATTCTGAAAGTGTAATTGCTTTAGTTACAGCATTTTTTCTTGACCACTGAACGATGTTAAACTTCGCTGTATTTCAGGCCCAAACCTCTGTTCTATGGCAGGTATGTAAAAACGAGCGACGATTCTGAGCAAAATAACGATCGAAAGAAATGTAGAGTGTGTTCGAAATTCGCCAGCATTCTGTTGGAGCTTATATATTGCTAATATGCCTGTCCTCTCACTATGTGAAAATGAGCCTGTCGTGCATCTTCCCGAGTGGTTAAAAAAAAACGCTTGAAACGTAAAGAATAAGGTATGTGGGCTACGAAAGGCGTGTTTTCTTATTATTTTCTGTGTTGGGCAGTTTTTATCGGGCATCTGTTCTCTTCCTTCCCCCTATTTGCAAAGATTTGGAGCGTGCGGGTAATGATTTGAACCCAGAACAAGCATCTTCGCACATATTCAAGAGCAGAAAGAATAAAGCAGTACTTATTTATGGCAAATCGGACTATATTGCGTGACTTTCAATTTATTGTGATCGTCTGCAAGCAGAGTTACTTATCCAGTGTTACTGCGTAGTTCTTGCCGTCTCTCTTCATTTTCCACATGTCCTTCGTTCGTTTGGCACGTATATCCCCCATGCTGGAAAGCGCTGACGCCGTGTTCGCGCTAACAGTGTCCGACGGTGCACATAAATACATGTATGAGGCGGTTTAGTACAGTTTCTCATGCCACGATTTTAAAATAAAAACGCTGTAACTGACCAATTATTTTATCTGCGTGTCTGGGAAATGTTCCAATGTGCCTATAGTCGGTTACAGGTTAAGAAGGTAGCGGCAAATGCCCCTCAAAGGGAATCGGATATCCCTCCGCCACCTCCGCATCCAATAGCGTCCCACCGTTTCCGTGACATCGCGGCCAACGCTCGAGGAGGGTCTTGCCTTTCTGTACATATTTGCTTTATCTTCCGACTTTGACTTAGCATTGTGGAAGCCACGAGAGGGAGATTAGAGTTCTCCCCCACCGACGGAAACAAATGCGACTTTCGGGGATTAGCTTCCCCCCCGATGGATACAAAGGCTGCTTTCAGGGGCTCGGTTCCCTCTCCGATGAATACAAAGGTCGCTTTCTTAAAAAGTGGGATCGGAGACAAGTGGGAATCCATTGAAGCGGAACAAGGAGCGTTTCCAGTGAACTCTTCTTTCGACTGCGGAGAGATTTGAAACGGGCGCATCACACTTGTGGGAGGAGCTTCTCCTACCTTCTTGACTTGTAACCGACTATAGTAGGTACGATTTATTCGTGATATTTGCTCTTATAATCGAGCGCAGAGAGGAAATGCAGTCGCTTTTTTCCCTAGAAATGCAATATCGGAAGTGAATTTCGGACTGTTAGCTGTCTGCTTCATTTTGCAACAGCACACTAGCACCAGTTGAACCTCTAGCGTACATTATTATAACTCTATGGTCTCTCCATCCCCCCCCCCCCCCCCCCTCCCCCCCGGATATTTCGGACTGTTAAAAGAAAACAATACGGGGAAAGAGGGCATGGTTGAGCTTATTTTAATCTGAAATTATTTATGCATATGTATAGACCGACGCACTGTTTACAAACAAGCCCGCGTTTGCCCACACCAGGTGTGGGCACTGCGCGTGCGCAGAAACCGAATTCGGGAGAAGTGAAGCATCACGCATGCGCAGTGCGTCCGGCAGCGCCACCGCAGCTGCGTGACGTCAGGGGCGCGTGTTGGTCCATAGCTACTGTCGCTCTTCACTGCATAAAAGATCGTGTAGATGGTCATTGTTAGGAACTTGTTGTCAGAAGGCGCTACTCGTCACATGCTCGGTGGTTCGGAAGTTCAAAGCTATGTCTTTCCGACCTAAATAACTGCCATTAGTAAAAAATAAATAAATAAACATAACAATAAATGCAAAAAGTAAAAGGCTGGAAGAAAAAAAACTATCAAGAATCCACCGGAAGTGTTGTATTCTTGCATATTTACAGGCCCAGAACTACATAGCAAGTTTTTTCTACCAAAATGTGTACAGGCTAAAAGAAACATGTCCCAAAAACGTAAAATGAAAAAAAAAATTTATATATATATATATATATATATACTATATGACGTGCCGAGTTTGAACAATATTAGAAATCTTTTTCCCTGAGTTAATATATTCCTCAACGTGAAAATAACAATATACACATTAATTTTGTATTCTGCAGATGGTAATGATATCTACTGTCTGTGGTGTTAATTTAAATGCAAAACCTCAAACAATTTCGACGAAAAAAATTACCATGTTTAGGGCATAATTGCCCATAGATACATGTTTGGATATTTCTTTGAAACTCGTCTTGAAGAATAATAATCATATCTTGAGACCACACTTACCTAGGCTATACATAGATCATTCTTAAAAAGTTTAACATCTCTACTATAAATATCTTCGGCTATAGCGTGCTTCAAATATGGGACAAACGACGATTGTCGAAAACCCGTAGTCCTTCCTCGCTCCTTCGGGAATCTATTTCTTTAAAACCAAGCATGCCAGACGATTGAAATAAACGGCATTGTCTTTCGCAAGTAATGCGTCGCCACATGTAAAAATGCGAGAAAAAAAAAATTACGAATGTACCTCACAGCTTAAATCCAAATGAAACCGCCCGCCTGTCTTTCGAAGTTCGACGCACTTCGAACTTTTACCCTAAAAGTTCGAAGTTCGTCGAACTTTTGACTTTTCAGGAGTCGGAAGTTCGACAATTTTCGAATTCTTTAGATTAATAAGTTCGAAAGTTCGAACATTATCGAATTCCTTAGAGTAGGAAGTTCGAAAAGCTTCGAACTTTTTAGTGCAAGAAATTCGAAAGTTCGAAAATGGTCTAATTTTTTTAGTCTATCGAGTTCGAAAGTTCGACAAGCATTGAATTTTGCAGCGTAATAAGTTCAAAATTTCGAAAAGCGTCGAACTTCTTAGTTTAGCAAGTTCGAAAATTCGACTTCGGTCGAATTTCTCGATATGGAAAGTTCGAAAATTCGAAATCTTTCGAACCGCTTGATTCGATCAGCGAATTTTTGGTTCGAAAAAAGTTCGCGGCATCCCTATTCTAGAAGTCGTTCTCGAGGTCGTTCTAGAAGTCGTCCTCGAGGTCGTCCTGGAAGTGGTCTTCGAGGTCGTCCTAGAAGTCGTCCTCAAGGTCGTCCTAGAAGTCGTCCGAGAGGTCGTCTTAGAAGTAGCCCTGGAGGTCATCCTAGACGTCATTTTGGAGGTCGTCCTAGAAGTTGTCCTCGAGGTTGGTCGTCCTAGAAATCATACTAGAAGTCTCCCTTGAGGTCCGCCTAGGCGTCCTAGATGTCGTCCTCTAGGCATCGTCCTAGACGTCGTAAAGATAACAGCTTCGCTGGTCCTCCATCTTCACAAGAAGTGGAAGGGCTCTATAATTTTTTTCGTTTGTTTTTACGCAAAAACATGCTCTCTATACGCTTGTGGTGACCACAGTAAATAAGAAAGATGGAGGCACTGTGTTGGCGCCTCGAGCCTGGGAGTTTTGGTACTCTGGGAACATTCAGTGATTCTAGGTTGAACGACGGATGGCGCTTGTCAGCCAGTTGCAAGTGATGGGTTCGCGGTTGGACAAGCGGTACTGGTCAGCTGCTTGTCCACACGGGAGCCCATTGCTTGCGAATGGCTGTCAAGTGCATTCGACCATATTCGCCAAGGTTCAGTAGCGTCATCTGTTGTTCTGCACCAACGGTAAGTGTCGGGATCTTTTCTCACTTTTTAATATGCAAATCTGCCGCGCATGAATGTAATTTTGGGCTTTTTAGGGTGCTTTGAGCTCGTAGATTTAGTTATGACCGTATAATTGGAACCAATATTGTACTGGAAAGATGTTGCCCCCTAAATCAGAAACTTCATGTTACTAGCAGTGCTCTTGAGATTTTGTCTCTTTTGGGTCATGCTTTACGGTGGTATTCCTTGTGTTAGCACTTTATTCATTTAGTTGTGTCATTGTGTCGGTTCAGGGAAGGTTTGTTTTTGTGCACAGCTACATCAAGCGGGGCCAGCTGGAGATTGTGACGGGCGGTTGGGTGATGAACGACGAGGCCAACACGCACGTTTTTGCCATGCTGGAGCAGCTGGTGGAAGGTCACCAGTGGATGCAGCGGAATCTGGGTGAGGAACCGTCGCATCACTCTGTCGTAGTTGCAGGTCTCTGTTGGGGGCAAGGAGGCGTGGGACTCAAGAGGTGTAGATTTCAGAACTCACCTCAAGTATTTATACGCTTATTGGTGGCTCTTTCTTGCTAACGCATTAGCGAAATGAGTCCTAGTAGGATGCACTTCATTGGTCGACAACTGTCTTTGTATGTTGACTTCAGCAGCTTTGCTCGAAAAGGGACTAGGAAAAAATAGACGACGCCCATTACATGCCACAACAAAGCCTTGCCTAAGAGCACAGAGCAAGGAGTGCGCTCAACAAAAGCAATACCCAATGAGAAAGTATGATGTGCATTGCCTATGTACAAAGAGGGACAACTCTTTCTAAAGAAAGGTCACGCCTTACGAAGTGGTGCCAGGCGATAGGCTTTACGTTGCAGAGAGCACGCTCAACACAGGTTGTCTCCGCAAAAAAGATACTAATAAAGAGCCAATCGTCGTCTAACCACATATATGAAACTAAAGCCTTATGGCTATACTCGATGAAGGCTGTTCCAAATCAATGTCATGCCGGACCTAGAGCCATTAAATAAGCGGGTCAAGTTCTTTGATAGTAACAATCGCTAATTGCACCCGCTTTGCACTAGGCACCAATTTGGCGGCGGATGCAGCGAAATCAGGGGAATGGAGTGCCGCTACTCCAAGTGTGGCTGACAGAGTGGTCATAGTCGGACCGAGGCACTTTGCAGGCTTCGTTTCTCTCTCCATTCTTTTCCACGTGCACGGAGTGAGGGACCTGTTTCCGCGCAGGGGTGCACCCGGAGACCGGCTGGGCCATCGACCCATTCGGGCTGTCCCCGACCATGGCGTACCTGCTGAAGCGCATGGGCTTCCACAACATGGTGGTGCAAAGAGTGCACTACTCTGTCAAGAAGTTCCTGGCCAGCCAGAAGGCGGTAGAGTTCATCTGGAGGCAGCCCTGGGGTGAGCCAATGCCACTTGGAATGTGGCCTCTCAAGCTGGGCTCCCAGAAACTTTGGGTTTCTGTACCGCTTTATTGCACTAACGCGAAGGCCGGGAGGAGTTCCACAGCCGTCGATCGATGATAACACGGATTCCTCAAAGTAGAAAGGCCTGAGAACTCCTGACCTCGAATAATCTAAACCCGTACACTAGAATTTTTGCATCGTCGCTGTAAGATTGAACACAGACACAAACTGGACGCAAGTGCCGTGTCGGCGTTCAGCTGGGCCTCGTGTGCAATTGATGTGTCAAAAGCCGCTCGGTGCAGGGCTCGAGCCCAATTGCCGATTCGGCACCATCCTAGTGCAATGACATTACTTGGAGAAATCTGTTCGCGCGCTTTGAGTATTCTAGGGGGTGTTGAATAAGCGCTCTTTAAAGGTGCTTTCATACCGGCGATCTGGAGCACTCGCGCGATACGACTAGATCGCATCGCAAAAAGTCTGGTCAGCTAGCAATTGCTCAAAACGAGTCGTTTCTTTTCCGTGATGTTCGCTGTAGCGGCGGAAGTTATCATGCGAGTGCTGCACACCGCCGGTGTGAAGACACCTTAAGACTTCCTGCTCGAGACGTTCATGTAATCGGTGGCACTGGCTCCACAATTGGAAGACCGTAGAAGCTACGAAGCTGTTGCCTTAATTAAATTACTTTCTCGTCCCCGCCGAGAGTTGCTGGGTGGCACGGCACGTTCTGCAGCCTCTCGCGCGTCGTCGCCGGATCCCTCTTTCTCGGCAGACCAGAACCGGACGACAGACATCCTGTGCCACATGATGCCCTTCTATAGCTACGACGTGCCCCACACGTGCGGGCCGGACCCCAAGGTGTGCTGCCAGTTTGACTTCAAGCGTCTCCCGGGCAATGCTGTCAACTGCCCCTGGAAGGTGCCCCCCGTGCCGATCACGAGCAAGAACGTCGCCGAACGGCAAGTCTCCGATCCTGGCACCTCCCTTCGGGACTGCAGTGTTAGACATTATGCTTGTAGAGCAGTGCACCATTGGCACACATATGCCCAGTCCTTGGAGCTAATGGGGAGTTTTATTCTATCGTTCCACTAAGTTCGGTAATGACACCCAACACTCTGCCGGCGTCTTTATGCAGGCACCACATTGCTCTCGGGTACCGTCATCCAAGTGCAAAAATCGTCTACTAAAACTCTATTGCCGTACCGAGATCATAACTGGTAAGGCTTTGGCTTCGTTCTGCCCAGCTTACCCCTCCGGAGTTTGTGTTTCTGCGAATCTCTGATGCTTCGTGGTCACGTTGAGCCGTGCGTAGGGTATGATTGGGTGTCTTGTCGATGTGATTCTGCACCAGCCGAACAATCTCTACGTACGTTTTGGTGCTTGGTTTAACACTTGCCACCAAGTTCCGTATTAGTCCGTACATTTCTCGTTTGACGATAGAGAAGAACATCGGCTCGCTTTGATTCCAGAATGTCATTCGCAGAGAAGAACACTTCAATCTTTTCGATGTACGATGACCATGATTCCGATTTCTGATCGAACTCTTCAATTTTCCCGACGCGAGGCATCCTTTAGGTTTGAGATGGGGCGTCACTCACGTTACCGCTGTCTCTTTTGTTTCGTTGACGCTCAGTTGTTTATACCATTCTTTGTTGCATAGTTCTTATCCTCGTCGCCATTGTGATGTACCGGTTAATTTTGGATAATGCGAGAATATATTTATTTAACTGTTTAGGTTACAATCAGTTGGTGTTACAAGAAGTGTCTCTTTTGGTCTGTGACCCTCGCCCGGTCTGCGGATTCCAGGCGTCCAGTGCTTCTCCGTGGCTCCGCTGCTCGGCTCTCCCCTCCCGGTGTCTTGGGTTGTTTTGGCTCAATAGGTCGTGTTTGCTATACACGGCGAACACGCACGTAACACACGGCAGACATCACGTAAGAACTATAAGCCATATATAACTCTTGGAAAGAACCACATCCACAGACGCATGAATTGACACTGGCAGGTTTTCGTGGAAACGAGTGTTCTAATGCTGACACATTAAAAGTTGTCCGCTCATTGCAAGAACGACAGCAGCAAATTTTTTCTTTTTTTTACGAAAGCAATGCAAAGGCACATTAAAACATGCCCCCTGCAACTCGTAAAAAAAAAAGTTTGTAGGAAAGGAAGAAGTTGAACATATAAGACAAAAGAACATCTATAGGTTGTCTGTGATGTGTTGTTCTATGGCGGCGACTGGCGGCGAAATTCGAAGGCGCCACAAGACGCAACCGAGAAGGCGAAGAAGCTTCTTCAGCGACCGACGATTGCAGACTCGGAGGCGCCTGGCCGCTGAGTTATCGAGCGCCAGCCTGGCTCCACTGTAGCTCTCTACTTCGGCACTGTCTCAACTTTATGAGGAAGGCAAGAAGGGAGGCCTTTTCATGTTTGTTTTAAAGGATAGTTAAGCTAGCATCAAGCAAACCTCGTTTTCTTTTTGTTCTGTTTAGACAGTCCTTATTTCTGTCTTCTTCTGTCTTTCTATCTTCAATACTCTCACTGTCTTTGTCCGCTTCAACTTCGACGTTCGAGACATGAGGGAGTAACGAGGGACCTCGCATGCAATTACTGTTCCAGCAATATCACAAACAAAACAATAGTAATTGCTACTTTAGCACTATAGTCCTTTTCACCTTGCGTCCGGACGCAGCAGACGCTACGAGCTATCCTAGCGAATCCCGTGCTGTGGACGTAGCCCGGGATACGCTTTCCGCGCGTCGTTGTGCCCCCTCTCTAAGGTCACGTGACATTCACGCAGCCTCGGATTGGCTCCGATGGCTCGTAGGATCCGATGGCTCAGACATACGGTGAAGTGGAGTATAGGACGGATATGCACAGAGTAATGTTTGCAATCAAGATCGACTCGTATATTTATTCAAGTGCTCTTGTATATGGAGCTTGACTTCTCATTACCATGTTGCACTGTAAAAATATTTATTTCGAATAACTATTTGCTAGACAAAATCACACTTGTAACTTGGTAATGCGTCGTGCCAGAGGGGAAAGGGGAGGACCCGTCGTGCCCCCCTTCCCCCGGGAAATTGAAAACTTTCCGCCTATGTACTGTTTCATGGTAAATGTTAAATTGCAATATTACATCAAGTACTAGAAGCTTCTTAGATGCTAAAAAGATCAGAACACATGAAAACTGCCAAAGTATATTACCTTTGCAGCTCAGCACTCAGCAGATGAAGAGGGCTTGGCCTCTCTTCATGCAGGCTATTATTCATCCCACTCGCACCGGTGCCAATTACAGCTGACACCTTTAGTTTTAGGTGTTTCTTGGCATCTTTAGTTATTTCTTAATACATATTATCTTTGTACATGTTGTCACTTTACTTTCAAGTGTGTTATGCATGTATTAGAAATATAATATAACATGCTTTAGTTTAAAAAGAGCCACTCTTAACACTAATTATTAGGGGTGTGCGAATACCAAATTCTAGTTTTTGAATCGAATACCGAATCGAATCAAGAAAAAAAAAGCCGAATGTCGAATCGATTATCGAATAGTGGTTTTACTTGTAGGAATTTTTTAAAGTGTGCTGCGAATGAGATTATATGTGCAGAGTATGCGCCTGGGGCAGAATATGCATCTTGTACGGAACGAAAGCTAAAATGTAAAAAAGGTCTGGTGAAAAAAAAAAAAAAAAAACAGTTGCTGTTGGACGTTGGTTACTGAAGATTAAATTTTGTGGCGCAAATATAATCTATCTACCCTAACCCTCACAAAAAACAAAGTTACAGCCACACATACCTTTTTTTCTCTCGTTAAAAGCCAACCTAGCACTGCGACTTTTTTAAAAATATCTGTATATCTCAGAAAAGGAGCATTTTGCGATATTGGGTCTCCATTTTAAGGAAGAAAAAGGGCACCCGGGCTTTGATTTCACATAAAGAAACAGATAGGTGTTACATCTGAGTAAACAGGCTTAAACAATATAATCTGAAGTAAGAAAAAAAAAAACGTGGTTAGGTAGCGCAAGTCACCGTCCAACTGCCGCTATGCATCCATTTTTCCGTCTATCTTGTTTTACGGAGCCTTGATTTAAAAGATGGAGCAAGCGAAACTGAATGCAAATTGGTCGTATTGTCGCTTGGAAAAAAGGCGAGCAAACAGAAGAGCGACGACACCTGCCCTGCCTGCCCGATCCCGATCGACGCTTTCATCTTTTCGTCACATTCTCGCAGTTCGTAACTCAAACGCGGCTATCGAACGGTTGGGAACCCTCTCAAATCTAAGCACACTATTTTTGCGTTCCGTTTCGTTCCGAATCAGGATTTGCGGCTTGCGGCGCTTGCTGCTGGTTTCGTCGGCGTGGTTAACGTAGTTTTCTTTCTGTGATCGTGCAGTCGCCGATTTTTGTGAATGCGGCAAGTGTGTTTACATCGGCGCTTCAATTTGAAATGAGGGGCTTTACTCGTGAAAAGATTTAGGCATGGTGCGGAACTCCGGCTTCCCAACAATTCCTCTCTGGAAGTGGCGCAAACGGGATGTTTCGGTTGTGATTGAAGGTTAGATTGTGTCACGATCGTGAGTAAATCTGCGTGCTATAAAGTTTGTGGCGTTCGTCAATTTTATTTTTTCTAACCTGTGCATTAGATTTTTGTGAAATGGTAGGACCAAGAGGTGTTTCTCGCATGGTCTGTCTAACATCACGGCGCTTACATCGGGAGGAAGAACGGCTTTTTTGTCAGCTCCGCGCCGACCGCGCGTCTTTGGCTGAATATATTGAATATTCGAGTGACAAAATACTAGGAATTCGATTCATGAATCGAATTATTCGGGAACTTCCTATTCGATTCGAATTCGTATATTCGAGTATTCGCACACCCTTACTAATTATATATATTTTCTTGTTCCCCACACGTCTGATTACATTTCTTCTGTGTGGTGGGGCAACATTCCTCAGTTGCATTTTCATTGCATGTCCTTTTCTTGGGGTTGCCAGAAGCCCCAAAGCTCCTTCTTAGTAGTTCTCTCGTGTTTTCTCCCGCTGTCTGCACTTTCAGGGCCAAGCTTTTGCTGGACCAGTACCGCAAGAAATCGCTGCTCTTCCGCTCTCGAACAGTGCTCGTCCCGCTGGGAGACGACTTCCGCTACGACAAGCCCAACGAGTGGGACAATCAGTTTGGAAACTACCAGAAGCTGTTTGATTACATCAACGCCAACGACAATTTGCACGCAGAGGTCAGTTTTCCATCACCAAGGCCGCACAGCCTCTAGACGGCGTCGGTGCCACAGTATGGGAAACTCTGTTGACGTAAATCATCTCGAGAGGAGTACCTGTTCACGGATCACAAATGGTCGAGTCAAAATTCGGTCATGAAATGAAGGGAGGAGGCAAAATTGACCACAATCTGCCATCCTTGTACCTCCAGCATCTCTCGCCCTTGTTTCGGTTGTTGAAATTTATGTGACCTGAGCTTTATTGCACAACGTGGCTAGTGTGACAAACATCGTCCTTCTAAAACAAGACATAACTGTTTGTAGCACTGAGGGTAATGCCCATTGGCAGGGGTGTGTTATGATTATAAAGAAAAAAAGCTCTCGCAGAACTTAAAAAGAAAATATTTTGGAGTTGCATTTTCATGATTATGTACTACTTTCTCACTCGCCTGAATCTTGCTCTGTAAGGCCTTTCCAGTTGCTTTCAGCCAAGTACTTGGGCCTGCACCTCAGCTCCCTCGTCTTTTACGAGGCCCCTTCCTTCGTGGCATGGCAGGCTTTCTCACGTGGTGCACTGCCTAACCACAGGTCCAGTTTGGGACCCTGAAGGAGTACTTTGCCGCCGTACGGAAGGAGACGGAAGTGGATGCGAGTGGCATGCCCTCTGGCTTTCCGTCGCTGAGCGGGGACTTCTTCACTTACGCCGATCGCGACGACAACTACTGGAGCGGCTTCTACACCTCGCGGCCTTTCTACAAGAACATGGATCGTGCTGTCGAGGCCCATCTGAGGTATGTACCATGCATATTTGTGCGAAAACTGCCCTATTACTTCAGGACTGGAGGGCAATGTTTTGGGGTGCAGAGCTTGCACAGTTTAAAGAACAATGTTGTTTATGCATGTTGCAAAACTCGTGTGCTAAGTGGTCTACACCCTGACGTAACACCGCTGACAGCTACCTGGTCTCTGCACACATGCAGTGCCCACACCTGGAACACCGACTTGTTTGTAAACAGCACATTGGCCTACACAGTCCTTGCATGTGCAAAAGTTGAAGTGTGCTCCGTGTTAAAATGAACCCCTTTTTCTGTGTTTTGATATGTGATTGCAATGTCTTCATGATCATTCTAATTCAAAAAATCTAATGTCTCGTTGAAAGACATTAGCCGTCCGTGTGGCTGTATGACGCATGCACATCGGTGCACCATTCGCTCTACGTGGCACACTGAGATAGTAAGACTAAGCTCCAAGTGCAAAAGAGGAAACAAATGTGCACAGCTCTACTAAGTGGTGCCATTTCAGCGTATTCTTCCTCTTTTCCTCCTTAGAGGAGGGACAGCAATGATTGGAGTGCTGCCCATGAAAGTAAGGTTCAGTATGATGGTAGATGCTGTAGCACTGTTTAAAATGTTCTGAGGCATATTTTGAAGAGTTGCAAAGCTACAGGGAGCCTTGACTTTATTTTTGTATCAAGCTAGAGACCTGGGGTCTAATGGTTGTGCAGGGGATGTAGCAGTATGTAGTGGGGAGAGCTTTGCACTTGGAGTACCAAACAACTTCTTTATCAGATATATAAACATTGAAAGAATCTATAGCACTTGTTGAGGAGTTTGGTGAATGCAAAAGGGTTGCAAGGAACCATTTTGCATTCGTCAAACTGCAACTCACCATGTTGATTGAATTTGTTTTTTGTCTTTCTTTTCCAGTTTGTAGCTGTTCCCATAAGTAAATTTATTATTTAATAGTGCACTTCTATTTTAGGTTTTTAAGCATGTTTGGACTTCTATTGATGTGCACAAAGTAAAAGTTAGGAACCCTTTGCTGAACTTGTTTGCTTCGAATGTCCAAGCCACAGTCTCCGCGTCCTTTTCGTCCAGGGGAGCCGAGATCCTGTTCTCGCTGATGTGGGCCCGCATGGCGTACATTGGTAATGATGACATGGCACTGATCAACAAAATGATGAATGGTCTGGTGGTGGCGAGGCAAAATCTAGGCTTGTTCCAGCACCACGATGCCATCACGGGGACAGCCAAGAACAATGTGGTGATTGACTATGCCAACAGGTGAGGGCACTTCACACCTGGAGAGCGTTCTTTTTTCAGAGCTAAAGCATTTGTTTGCATTGAGCAAAGCTGAAGTGATGGGCACATGATTGCAATCTTGGGATGTTTTCACGAGCCTTTGGAACACAGGAAAGGGATGACATTCCCTTCTGTCTTGACTGAACTAATCTAGTTATGTGAGCAGTTTGCTTTGGATTACATTTTTTTTGCTTGCTACAAGAGATGCTATAATTACTACCAATGAAATGCAAGTGACCCACATTCATTCTACTATAATGACAGTTTCATGCATATCAAAACCCCTGGTGAGCAGCTGGGCCGCACTAGTCAAATTTTTAAGTTACTTTCCTAGGCAACAGGGCAAGAGTTTCTGATGTACATTGGCCATTATACCAGGTTAGATTCATCCTTCTCATACACATTGCAACCACTTCCCAACTAATGACATCACTGAATTTTGCCTGGGGGAATCTCTCTTCTTACTAATCATGGTATTGATTAGAGTTTAATTTTAATGGCTTGGACTCACAGCTCTCATTGCTAGGCATTATATTTATCATTGCTTGCAGATGTAGCTAGGTTTTATGTCTTGTGGCTGGAGGCACTAACGTCTTGTTGGCCTCTGTGCAGGCTGCTCAAGTCACTGGAGCACCTCCGGGAGATCATTGCAGTTGGGGCAATGTACCTGCTTCTCAATGTGCCATCTTACGGGAAACTCGGGAAAGATGTCTTTGTCCTGCACCTGGTGAGTGGCTCTTCCCACCACTGAAAATGCTGTCCGTTGCAAATGTTACAGTTGTATTTGTTGAGGTTGTAGTTGGATTAAGGGGAAGCACTGCTTCTTGAGCTTTTTCTTCTCTTATTTATGGTCCAATCCAAATGAAATTTATGGAGCACAATCATCTTCCCATTCTGATGACAAATATGTACTTTGTTTTAAAATAGCTTAGTTAGTTTTGATAAAATTAACTATTTTATCTGAACATTGTATGGGCGAGATTCCAAACAATTGTGAAGACAAAACTCAAAAAGGAATATATCCCCATAAACTAGAAGGTCTACAGAATCCAATAAGGTATAAATGAAGGCTCCATGATTATTTATAACATTTTTACGGCATTTCGTAATTTTCAGTTTATAAATTAATTTTTACAATCTATATTGGAGGTGCTAACAAAAAATACTGATGCCTAAGTTGATGCAATTAGACCCCTTATTGGATACCCCACTTATACACCTACCAAAGAAAGAAAGAATTAGGAAGATTGGTTGTGTACAGGCCGAGATACGGCTTCCGCAAAATAGCAAACTGCGCAAAAAGTTCATTTCGATAAAACAGCAAAATACGTTCAGGGACAGATTTTTACTGCTACCCGCGGCAAACTCCACTCGGATGCGACATCCCCGCAGATCTTGCAACATAGCTTGAGTTTTACTGCAAGCCCATACTCGCGATCGCATTTTATGAGTTCGACATCGCCGCAACTTCGTGAGTTGAAGAAGCGAGTTCACGACGTCGAGGCTTACAACGATGAAACTCTCTGTACTCTCGGGAGCTTCTTGATCGGCGCCCGAGACGCCGGCCATCAGGGCAGCTTTCCGCGTCGTAGCGTACGCCGACGAAAATGCTTAGAGTTTTTCCTCGGCTTTTTTTTTCTTTCTCGTCGATCTCGGAAGCGCTGAGCATCACCGTGTCTAACCGCACTCGCTCGCTTGAAGTCAGGATGTCGATGGCGCCGTTGATGCGACATCTTCGTGTTCGGGCTCCCGCACCTCGTTGTCGACGTTCAGGCTCGCGGGAAGTTGAATTGCGCCGTGGACTAGCTTCCTCGGGCCCTTTTTTCGTTTTTTTCCGAACTTGTGGGTTGTGTGAAACTTTCTCCGTGGAGTTGTTGTGATCGGCATGGTCAGAGACGAGCACGAGAATCAAACAAGATGGCGGATCGGAAACAACGAGCAGACGCTTCGTAACCCTAACGGCCAATGAGAAAGCGACATTTGCACACGTGATCCGAAACAGCCAACCGCGTGGCAAGATTTAGTTTTTTATTTGTGCTTCGTTCTCGGCGGCCAATCGCCGTCTAGCATCGTGAATGGCGGGAGAAGAAAGAGCGGGAGCGGAGCTTTCAAATAAAACCAAGATGCCCCCCTTCTGTCGCGTTGTTCTCGAGCTACCGGCGGTCAAATTGTACCTTTTTTTTTGCTTTTTTCGGAGGAAGCATCTCCGTTTAGATACTTCAAATCAATACCCAAAAATAAATAGGGCGTATTTTGCGATAATACTTTGAGAAAAGATGCGAAAATACCTGTAGATATTAAAAAACATAATTTCAAAAATGTGATTTTTTTGTCATTTTTTTGTTTCAAGGAGCCGTGTCCTCCCTTAATAGGGCAACCTCCGTCAACGTTGCCAAATCCTTGAGGAAAAAAAATCGCCCGCTGCCCGCTGGAATTGAACCTGGGTTTGCTGCGTGTGAATCAGACGTGTTATTACTGAGCGACGTTGAAGTGTTAATAAGCTGCTCTAAACTTGGGGTTTTTGTTGTACCCAATGCCCACTGTACGCGCTCTCTGAAAAAACGAGTAGCCTATAAAAAATTGCCATCGTAGCACTGTCAGTGCCAAGAACTTGTGCCGAGAGTTGCGCTTTCAAGGTCTCCTGAACAAAACAGATGTCTGTTTTGCTCTGAGCGCTTTTGCTCACGCACCCCACGGGGCATAAATGCAACGCCGATGACCAGCGACTTCGCCGTGACGTGTCACAGCTGTCGCTGTGATTGTACTGTGGATTAACGCAGGACTGCGCATTTTACAGCAAAGTTGTGTATGGCTAGGGTCCCATGGATTTTTCATGTGCGTCAACAAAAACTCGCACCGCCCACTGTTTGTCGTCGTTCCAAGTGCTTGCGTGCCTAGTTTCCTTCTGCTCTCCTGGGGTGTTGGTCCCGTCACGCGTGTCAACGAGAATGTCGGCGGCGGCAGCGGCCGGTAAACACCACTCATGAAGATAGTGCACAAAACGCCAAGCGCATGGGGCAAACCAGACAAGAAGAACGTTGCAGGGTGAAGAACGCATCACAATGTTGCAGGTATCATGCTGCTAAATTGGACAACATTAAAGGGTAACTCTGCCGATTTTTCGAGCTACCTAGCCCAAAGGCATTTAATTTGAATGCAAATGGCTTCCTGATTTCGAAATGCTATCTCGTTCTCCCAGATTCACTTTAGTTAATTAAAAAAGTGATATTTTGTTTGCTGTTGAAACCGAAATATCGTTCTCCCTATTTTTCCCCAGTTTTCCCCGCCACCCAAGCGTGACGTCATGGGTGGGCTGCGAGGCGCGCGGCCGGCAATTGGGTGCGCTCGCACCCGCTTTTCTTGTGTCTAACAGCGAGAAAACCTGGGCATTCGGGCTATTTAAAGTTGATAATTATCTAGATTTGCACAAAGTATGGCCTTGGCTATGAGAAAGTAAAACTATGAGAAAGTAAAAAAAAAAAAGAAAACGAAAGCAATTGGAATTTTGGTAAAACTGTTTTTGCAACTCGGTACGCTCAGGTTGCGGCTCGCTATGATATCGCTAGTAAATTCATTCTCTTTTTATTAGAAGTTGGCTGGCGAAGAAAGGTTGAAGTGTCATGCAATACATTTTTTGACAAATTGCCAAAGCACCACTGAAAATGCTCGGAATGTGGGTACAGATGCCCCACACGCTCGTATAACCTGAAGGAATATGCCATTTGTTTTAGAGTTTCTTTAGAAAAGCTACTGTTGCAGGTGCCAGCGTGTGTAACTACTCTTGTGGCATGAATGTGCTCCTTGGTGCTTAAGTAATTTAGCAAAAGATCTATAGACCAGTTCTGAAAAGTGCTTCTGGTCGATGCCATTTTCAGCGTCCGTGTTTGTGATACGCACATTGCTCGCCTTCCAAAGCGACAAACATGTGCGTGCTGGGCTGGGACCTAACACATGTAGGTTACGTTTCTCGTAAACAATGAAATGTATAGAATTGAATGAACTGCATTCATGTAGATCAGATGGCAGGTTACTGGTCATGAAGATCGTGTTAAAATAACAGTTAAAAGAACTCTGCAACCACCAAGCCAATAATCAAGGTGCAATGGAATGCACATAAAATACACAAATACACTGTTCATCTTCAAATAAAGAATATTTGCTTGAAGATACAATAGTGCGTAAGGTACAGAAAAACATCATAAAACTTTTAATTCAAAATAAATTAACAAAAGTCACTAAAAAAATCGGTACCCGTATTTATTTATTTTTTTACTTTTGGAGTAGAATGCAACGTGTTCAAACACTCATCCACGAGAGCACATGGGAAGGGGCCAATTCGATATATGATTTTTTTCTAAGTTAAGTTTTGCTTTAGCACAGTTTTCATCAGCTGTAAATTTGCATGCCTCCCCTCATTGACATTAATATTTTCATGGTTTAAAAAAAAAAAAAATGTTTAGCCCTATATAAAATTTCTCCGCAATAGAATAACTTAAAGACATTTTAATCACTTCCGCAGAGAATATTGCACGCCAACCATTTGACAAACCAGGCAAAGGCTCTACCATATATTAATTGAGCTCGACACCTGCTTTATAAACCTCTGTAATAGCTGACAGGAATGGCAATATGTCGAAAGTCATGTTTAAATTCAGATTTTAACTATGTTTAGACATTTCACTTCTCGTCCTCAACACATCGGCCGCGTGAGTGGAACTCCGAGAGTGCCCAAGCTAGATTTGACGTCCAAAACAGAAAAAGTGCTTATAAAAAAATTTAAAAAATCACTGAATTAATTGTGAATAACGAATGTGACTGTTCAAAATGTCGACTATAGTTCTAGATTGTGTAATATTTTTCTCTATATTATTAGTGCTCTTTTTGGACAGATGTCGTCATGGTCACAGCCGGCTTGAGTTTGCGCTTTCCGCTTTTGAAGCTGTTCCAGCTGCTGAAGGATACTCGACTCGCAGCACGTGGCTATAAAGCATTCCGAGCAAAAGTGAAAATGTTTCACGTGACACTAGTTCTCTCGGCACACAGCTCGCGCAAAAACACCTTGACGTGGCTGGCCTTCACTGCAGCCGGGGAACGCATTTTGTTTCTCCCATGAAAGCAGGAGTAAAAAAGCTTTTTCCCGGCATCGTTTCTCCAATCTTATTGTGGAGCACAGATGCTACCCATTGCAAAGGAACTTTCAACCTTGAAGCTGCGAAAAAATAATCTCGATCGCTGGCACCCGGAAAGTCACTTCGCGACTGCCCGGGTCGCTCGTCCGCTTGCGCATCCGTGACGTATGCGGGTAGGGAAAAGTAGGGATTTTTCACTGTTGCCAGTACAGAGTCGCCTCCTGGAACTCTCGCGGCCAGCATAACTTGAAAATTCAATAACTTCACGGAAAAATGTTAGTTTTATAAAATATTTTGGTTTTCAGTTGAGAAAGGGTTATTGATGCGGTCTGCAAATTTCCAGCCAAATCGAAGTCTACCAAAAAATCGGCGGAGTTCCCCTTTAAAGGGATACTTCAACGAAATTTGAAATATTCCCGTCGTGTTCAAAAATAGGTTGAATATGATCCACAATATCCGTCAATGAGAATCGCACGTTTGTATTTTGATCCTGGTGGCTGTATTTATTGTTATAAACGGCCCACTCTGGCAAGCGCTCGGAGAAGGCCCAGCGGAGACCACGTGACATCCAACGCATTCGTGACGTAGGTCGTCTCAAGACGAGCAAAGGTACGGCGAGGCTGACGTCGAGAGGATGGCCTAGTCGTTCCAGCCACCGAAGCGGCTGCTTCTTTACGAATTTTGGGTGACGGGTTAATCTTCTATAATCTTGTAGGGGGACAATAGCGACTTCTGCGACACACAAAAGGGATTCTTGGGAAGAGGGGAGTTCCTCCTTCCCCCCTTCTCTCGTCGTGGCCGGAGACGAGACAACCTCCGTCACTAGCTGCCAAGGTTCCTAGACGGGGATTACAAACGAGGCGTTAGCGACATCCACCAGGTGCTCTTTGCTAATCGTTTAATTCGTTTTAAAATTCCTTTTCGAGACTTTTTTAACAAGATATTGGTATGTTCCATGTGATACTGCTCTTTTGAAAACATATAGACCAAAAAATGAGCGCCGAAATTTCGTTGTAGTATCCCTTTAATGGAGCATACACTAAATTCAAATGGGACTTTCTTGACAGACAGTTTGGGTGTAGTTTTAGGGTGTGTGACCGGCAGCAGTGCGACAACAACTTGACCAACGTCGGCAATGTGCGGGATCCTGGAAAGGGGACTTGTGTGCTGCAAGTGTTGTCGATGACCACTAGCACTTGATTAATGATCACCGATCAAGGCAATAAATGTGTTTTTACCTTTGCTCAAAATTCTCTGTCACGTCTGTTTTGTGTGCTAAACAGCTTAGCTGCTCATCCACCTTTACAGAGTGGAATGTCTCATAATGTTTTTGTGGTGGACGCTTTTTCAGGACGACGTCAGGGACGCCTATAACGGGATCCCACACAAGCAGCCTCTATCCTTCTCTAAGGAAATTCGAATGAGGTAACCCTGTTCTTTTGCTCTCAATTGCATTCTTAAAGCCTTTTGTTTATCTGGACTTTGAAGTGGCTGGGTGGTTTCTTAAATTTCTGAGCTTATTATGTTCACACTTCAAGATTCATTGTTCGGCAGTTCTCATCAGGAACTGCCGCATTCAAGTTGGCTGCAGGGAGCTAATAAGGTGCTGGCAACTGCCACACTTCACATTTCTTGAAGGGACACTGACAGGATATTTATACCCGCCAAGGTTTCTATTTGTGCACAACATAGGAGAGGCCAACTACCCAGAACACAGTTTGTGGCTCGAAATTTGTTTTTGTTGCGCCCGAAAACCGCTGGTCGAGCACTGGCCGGCGAGTCGCGCTCACTTTCTTCTTCGATGTCACGTGCCGTTCTCTCTGGTATAGACTCAACCACCAAATTGAATTAAATCAAATAGTGAGTGTGTGCCATCGAAGGCACACACACATTATTAAAAATATGATACCTATTTTTTTGTGGCTTCTTAAAAGTTGCAAATACGTTGACTGAAAAGAAAAAGAGTTGCACAGAGAACCGGAGGCACTTTGTGCATTCTCTGGATAATTCTGAACACGGCGTCGTATCACGAGAGTCGTGACATGGTGGCTGAAAGGGGAAGTGTGGCGGGCAGGAGCGAAGGGCTGCACAGATTTGCGATAGAAACGACTCGCCTTCATGTTGCAGCGCCCCTCACGGTGGAAAAGATTTTCATCGCAACTCGCTTCCCTCTTTGACATGGCGCGAATACGGCGCCATGTCAAACTGTATTTTCTTTGTCAACTACACAAAGTGCACAGGTTTCACCCTTGAAGTGGGTCGTGCACCTAAATTCCGCAATGAACATTTTGGGGACCGCCATAGGCGCTGCAGACAGCAGGCATGTCGGCGGTCCCCTTAATTTTTAGAGAGCCTGTATTACAGAGATTTTCCAACTGTTCGGTCGGGGTCACATGGTTTATGGTCCGCATTTGCAATGTGCGTGCAATACAAACTGCGAGGAAGTGACGAAAGCGTCAATCGTCTGCAAATGTCTCCTTTCCTGCTGCTTTCTCCCTTGCCACGCAAAAATGCAGAGCATGCATACTTGTTACCTATTGCGGCAGGAGGTGTCCGCCGTTCAATTGCAAACGCTCCCCTTGGTTTGAGATTGTCCCTCTTTAAACATTTTCATTGTAGCTCGTGACCCTCTCTATCATTGCGCGCATACAGCGCCCTTCACACTTCACCTAGTTGCGGGCTGAACGGCTGAACGAAGCGGACTAAGCGATGGCGGCGGACGACGGCCGTGGTACCTCTACTTCAGGACTGTTGTTTGCAGTACCGGTGAATCTGTCTAGCTTCGAAAGAGAAGTCGTTTATCGATCAAAGCAATCGGGATTTGTTCCGTACGACACACCCGACCACTGAGCTGATTTGCCTGAAGATGTCGGCGAGTTGTCTCCCCTTCTCCTGGCTGAAGACATTGCTTGCCTTACTAATATGGATTGGTAAGAGCTTGAAAAATGCACAAGCGTCAAGCACTTTGTGCTTGGCTTTTTCGTGCGACATGTGCATTTTTCGTCTGCTTCACAGACCAAAAAAACAAAAGAAAAAAAAAGAAAAGGTCAGGTGTAGGCATCTGACTTTTGGCAACTCTGTCTCCTTTATGTTTCTTCTTCTTCCTCAGTCCAGTTTTGGTTTCGAGCAGTTGGTGTTTTTTTACTTCATTAAAAATATATACAGTAGAATCTCGATAAACGGAAATCGCTTAAACGGAATTGCCGCTTAAACGGAACAGTAGCCCGTAAGTTGGTTGGTTTTGTATTCAGATAAGGTAAAAATACTTTCGGTAATCGGAACTAAAATTTGCACTTCACCGTTTAAACGGAACCTAAAATAGAACTTCAGGCAGACCCATTGCCATGAGCATCAGCCTTTTCTGGTTCTGGCTGTTTCTTTTTTTTTTCTTTTCTAGCCTTGCAAGCCTCGTTGGCCTCGCCTCATTGGTAGTCGGCGCAACGAATGCAACACTGCTGTTCTTGATCAAGTTGTTCGGTCTCTGTTCGAGTTGCCTAGGTTACAGCCGCATCGTTCCTGCCGTCGTGGTGCCTATCGTGCTTCATTGCCGCGTTGGTGTCTTCCAATTTCGGTGGCTCGTAAGCGCTCGCGAAGTTGAGGCCTTGCCTCCGTTGTTTCAATGGCGACACAGAAGTGGGCACACCATGCGCTGACGTTGGAAAAGAAGATGGACGTCATTCTTGACTTCGAAAGCGGCTCATACTCGAAGACGGCGCTCGCGACGAAGCACGGCGTCCCGAAAAGCAGCTTAACGTGGATGCTGCACGACAAGGGCAAGCTACGTGTGTTTAGTGTTTAGACATCCATAAAAGAGTATTAAAAGAGTGTGCACACATAAAATCGGCACTTTTTACATCTCTCTTAGTAAACGGAACTCCTGTTAAATGGAACAAACTTTTTTGGTCCCTTGGAGTTCCGTTTACTGAGAGTCTACTGTACAACACCGTAGCAAAATATTGAATGGGTAGTCTTCTAGCACTATATTAAAACGCCTGGCAAAATTTTTTTAAAAAGTTTTGGGGGGCATTGGTGCATATTCCTTTAAACTGTCAGCAACCCTAGAAGGGGAGCTAGGCCCGTAGGCCGGTGTGGATAGGGCCGTCTTCCTCGTTGCAGGTACCTGGTCATTTACAACTCGCTGTCGGTGCCGAGGAGCGAGCTGGTGAGCGTGCACGTGACTACGCCCTCCGTGGTGGTGGTAGACGCCAACGGGAGCGTGGTGACCAGCCAGCTGAGCCCCATCTGGGACAGGCAGGACCTGGTCAAGGGGACCTACGAGGTGACGAGGCACTCGCTTTGAGGGGCCGACATTTCTTCATGTGACGGCGGTCCTCGCTGCATAGGGGCGGGTCGCCGAGGCAGGTTTGCCGATCGATGCGGGTGTCCGAACCGGCGGGTCAAGGAATTTGAGGCAACGTGACTGGCTTCGTAATTGGAAAGTACCTGGCTTTCTAGCAGATTCCGCTCGGTGCATGAAAGCCTTGTTTGTTGTTTTCTTTTGTTCTCGCTTTAATGCAACCTTCCCCAGAAATAACTTAACATGCTAATCCTAAAGTATGCGAATGCGGTTTGTTTCGCTTATGTCTCGAGCTTCTTCACGTTTTTTGTTGCGTGGAATTGGACTTCAATAATCGGAGGGAAGACAGAATTACGGCAACCCTTTGCTTGTATGGCTAGGTACACTTTTTTTTCTTCCCCATGGGGCTAGTCACGTGACCTTAAAATGCCTTTTGCGGGTAAGTTAGCCGTCCGGTGTATAGCCGCAGCATTCGGCAAACCGGCGTGGGAGTTGACACAGACAGCTTATCTGTCACTGCCACTAGTTGATAGGAACCTCAAAACTGGGTGGCACAACAGTGTCAAAACAAGAGAAGGCTCTGTAACTCGGTGATGTCCTGGCACCACCACTGAATGTGACACATGCATTGGAGACGAGCGTTGTGTCAACATTTACCCAGCACCCAAATTCAGCCTTGATTCCAATCAATATGTCAACAAATGCCTGCACTCCCATTTTCCTCCCCCCCCCTTTTTTTTAAAATTCTTTTATTAAAGATAGTTTTTATGTTGAACGATACACCATGCGTGTTTGAGATGTCACTTGTCTGCTCCAGAAGCAGCTTGTGGAACTTGGTGTGGCATAGCATGGCTTTTCAGTTGCATTTATCAGATTCAGTACCATCCAAAGGGACCACAAGCATGCATCCCTCAGTTTTGGTTGAATTTCTCACTCAATGGTTGGTGCATTGTGTGAAGCATGACTGTCGGGCCCTGTTGGCTTTGAGGTTCAACAATCACGCACACAGCGGCGGAGAGTGGAGCAACACTAGAACTTAACTGATATATCCTTCAGAGCACTACTATAAGAAATGGGGTGCTGTTGATGGGACAGGAATTGACTCTTCCACAGCAGTTAATTTCGTATGGACTTTCATGGCTGTGGACGAGTACCATATTTATACAAATAATCGTCCTTTTTTCTTCCTAACTGTTACCTATTTATAAAATTAGGGGTTTATGTGCAATCATGATGAGAGATTGCCCTTAGTGAGTGAGAAAAATATCAGCTCAGCAATTTAACCCAAATGCTTCCCCGCATCAACCGCTGCTCCTAGCAAACCGGTGTAAAGCGGTGAAGCTCAATGCATGTGCCGATGCAAGGCAGTGAAGAGCAAAACAATTTTGTTTTCTTCTATGATGTGAAAACTGCTCCATGGTTATTACGAAGGTGTGTTGCGGTTTTGATTGCTTTGCTAGCCTAGGAAATCAGCCGTTAGTTGTGAAATATTTTTCTTTCATATGAGCATTTCATTCTGTAGAAACTATTCAGCTCACTTGGAAAATATTTGAATGGTGGTGTAACTATTAATTTCATAGTCTCTTTGACCTCGAAAGTCAATATTCACACTCGCCAAGCTTATACTTTTGAACTTGCCTGCATGTGCTGTTGCAAACACTGAGCGACAACAGCCCTTCATGCTTATTTAGTATGCCTGCCAGTCTTCAGAGGTGATCTCATCCAAGCTAGGTCTGGAACCCAAAGATAAGGTTTCAGTCCCTGAACTATTTGACAAATTTAGCAATGATGAAGACTGTGGGAACTGCAGTCATAGCAAAAGACCAAACCGAGTGTTGCCCTTTATATTGTGTGCGGATGCACTTTCTGTATAAGCTTGTGTGCATGCACACCTCATGAGCTCATGCACTTAATTCGCATGTACTGTGTAATTTTAATGCTTCCTCGGAGAAAGAGTGCGGCCATATTCACCTTTAATTGTTTTCCCATAGAGTCGTAGGCTGTTACTGTCAAAGTACTGGTGTCGGGAGGTGGCAATGGAAGGAAAAACTGTAAATTTGAAAATACTACGGCACAATTTGTTAGGCAGGACGCTGTCGAATGTTGTGCTACACAGAGGTGTCTTACGAGCCCATCAGTTCCAAAGGCTACAGGGCTTGGGTGTCCTTTCTGTGCACGTGCAGCTGTCGTTCCTGGTAGACGTGCCTCCTCTGGGGCTCTCCACGTACCGCGTGGAGCACATTGAGGGCATCAGCGGCATGGTGTTTCGCTCGACGTCCACCCTCTACAATGCAGAGTCCTGTCCCGACACCCTGTGAGTTGGCACGCTTCATCCTTTGTACCGCGACATAGGTATATCTTGCCTTCGGCTGTGACATGTTGTTACCAGGCATAGGAGAGATGTCGCAAGTTGTGCACTTTTAAGGGGGGACACTACCCAGAGAAAACAAACTTCTGCCAAAAACATTGACATTGATCCAGAGAGTATTCCCAGAAATTTTCAGTAGTTTACAATGCATAGTTAATTTTTTATAAATTATTTTCTGTCCACCAAAGCTAAAGAAAAGGTAGGGTTTGGAGCACTTTGAACACATTTTTCTCCGTTCCACTTTTCGGTATAAATTCCATTTTACTCAACCTATCGTTTGATAGTGGCAATACAGGGAAGGCTCGTTCTTCACTTTTCCTGACTGAAATTTAATAAGGAATGCGCCTGTGGAGTTTGTTTGTCACTTTACGAATGTCTTTTATAAAAAATGTTGACATTTTGTCGGAGACACAAAAGACCAAAAAGTGGACCAATTTTGCAGAAGAGAAAATTGATAGAAATCAACGACTTTTTAAAAAAACTTTCCATAAGCGCACCTCCTAGGCATTCTGCTACATATCTAGCGAATAAAAATCTTGAATATTGTGATAGTTTTCCGACGATAGATTAACTAAACAATGTAGGGGTGTTGCTGATAGAAGCTGCCCCAATTTCCTTCACACTTAACCGACAGACCTGAAATTTTGTTATGCACCCTCTAGCGTGACCACCAGCCTACCCTGTAAATTTCATTAATTTTAAGCCAAGGGTTCAAAAGTTGACCTTCGCAGGGGCTGTATCCCCTTAACTTTGCGATATCATTCCGTTCGTTGTCATTCTGTACGATCCAGCTTGGAGAAGGCTGCGTGATATTGCCCTTTCAACGAGTTTCATTTCTCACTCGTGATAGTGTGTCGTCGACGCTTTTCCTCTCTATTATTATTATGATTATGATTAACAAGGTAGACTACATCGCAATTTGCCGTCTACACTTCATCGGGGATGAAACTTTAAGCACTCTTTCTGTGCTTAGTTTCAAAATCAGGTGGCATGAAAGCTAGAAGCAATTGAGTAATGTAGCTTCAAAATGACAAATTATCCAGAAAAAATCTTTCTTCAAAAATAATTTCAGAAACTTTAATTTATAAATACACAGGCTTTATTTCACAAGCGATTCTTTTCGGCATGACGGCAGCCCTCCAAGTCAGCTTTCCAAGTTTAAAAGCAGCATCAATGGCCAGGAGAACACCCCCCATACATCCAAATTGAAAAAATGCAGAAAATAAGGTATGAGCAATCTTATTGGTTGAAACCCGAAACAGGGCTTATGATTGGTCCTGCCCGGCAATGTAATATTGTGTTACCTTCAGTAACACCCTTTTGACATTATCTTCTGCTTCAGATCATATTGCTGCTTTGCCGCTCTTCCTTAGTATCATTTACCTCTTAGTTCTCGTCAGTTTATCTGTCAAGGAATGCCAGCTACCAAAGTTAGCTTGCCTACAAACAAGACAAGCTGGTATCTTTTGCCAGGGGAACAACAAAGTCTCGAAGAGAAAGGTGCTAACAATGCCCCAGGTCATCTTTGTATGCCTGAGATTCATAGAAAATGAAGAAACATAAATTTAAACATCAAATGCTTTTTTTTTTTTCAGTTTAACTTTTTGGCAGCAAATGTGGTACGAGGAAATATATCGTTTGACGTTTTCAAAATGTAAAGGTTTCATTCAATGTGCGTCTTGGACGGAAATTTTCTGAGGAACACGTTAAGTTACTCATAATCTGAAAATGCTGACTTCTTCATGAAAAAACTGAATATCTTAAAACACAACACAGAAATTGGTGAAGATGTTTTGTTCTTTTTGGGGTGTTATCATTTTCCTTTAGAATTACATTTTGTAAGATTAATTTTTACGTCAACTTGCACTATGGGTATTCTACTTCACATTTAGACAGATATTTTGTGGATTGCAAATAATATTTCTTTAAATACATTTCCTAATAAAATCACTTTTTTTCTGTAACTCGTTAAACATAGTAAGTTGTCGAATTGGACTATTAGCCTGCAACTTTAGATATCACTCCTAACGCGGTTTGATTCACCCCGAAACTTTGATTAAATTTGAGTGAACGGTTCAAAAGTTCCAGGCCATGTTTCCCCTTCATATCCCAAAACAAACTTCTTTCATGGAAATTTAAGAAATTGTTTCGGCCTCTGCACCCGAAGACAGTTTGGGAACACAGTACAAGCTTCACTTCCAACATTTGCTTGTTGCTTTCCGTTGTGCCTCTACTGCACATGCTCACCAAGTGCTGAGGTTTTGTTGAAGGTAAAAAAACTCTCGTTGGAGGTGGAACTTCTACGCCATCCCTAACCTGTTACTGGCTGTAGTACTGGCTGCCTTCAAACCTGCAATTGCAGCATGACCCGAAACACCAGTATTATTCAAAATGTGTTTAACACATTTTAGTTTCTTGGCTAACTGATTGCAAAGGTTGTCCTGCATTGAACGTATGCCAGGTATGTTAAGCTTTGCAGCAGAGATTGTATCCATGTATAACAATCATTTTCTTTTTGCAAAAAAAAAAAAAAAATGTTTTGGTGAAAAACAAGCATTCTGTGTTGCATTCATAAAATGGGGCATGTGCAGAAGTGTCTAATGTCCAAGTGTAACATACATAGCACTAAGTATAATTATTGCGTTGCAGTGTGAAAGGGAAGTACTAAACGCAGTCTCTTGGAACTCTTTTCTTGACAGGTACTTCCCCATATCTCGCTCAGAGTCCCGGAGCAACATTCACATCCGGACGCCATACCTAGTCGCCACTTTTTCGCCAAGCACAGGAATGCTCAAGGTCTGGAATTCTTACCCATAAATTACGAAACTATACTTTTGTTTTTTTTCGCGATAGAACTCATTTGTTGCAAGCTCACATACTTTAAAAAAAGCTTTTCAGTCGCGAATACAATCCGCTTCTTATCTCGAGGAGCCCCCACTGATGGCCGAGAAACCCTTCCCGGCTTTGTCATCAATATGCTAAAGCAGTGCAGAGGCCTACAGGCCCTCTAAACAATAACTTGCACACCAGGGAATGATTGGCTCATAGTTATGCGTCAGAGGGTGACTCCGATCTTCTGAACTAGTGCTTAAACTGAAGAAACATACCAGATGGGGCGGAGATGGTTCAGGAAGTTTGGGAGCTCAACAGAACCGCTGAGGTTACTCTGGGAAATGCTTGTCTTCTAAGAATCCAGTTTGAGAACACCGGACGTGGGGTTTAGGAAACATTTACAGTAATCCTTCGTTACAACGAAATCACTTTTTTTTAATTATTACTTTTATTGAAGTTCAACATGGTCCCGACCGAAATCCACACATTTTCAACTGGATTATTCTAAGTGTATCGGCGGCTGATCATGCTTACTACGAAGGCAGAGGTGCCGAAAGCGCGCAAGCCTGCACGGAGGCGCACAAAGAACCTTGCGTTCCCTCCCCCTTCTCCACCGAGGCAAATGGTAAACTGGGAAAACTGAGTAAACGGGTGTCGAAGGGCAGAGCGCGCAGAGCTGGCAGAGTGCTGCTTCCGATGCCGAATCGCCGACACGGGGATGCGGGCATGGGGCCGCAGGAGCAGCGTCCACATTCCGACGCTACTCACGGTGCCTGCGGCCGACGCTGCCCGGCTCCTGTCGGAATCGGGTCAAGTAAGCGATGGAGCCAGGAGGAGATCATCCATTAAGAAGCCCCAAACGCACGTGCCTGCGCAAGTGCACTTGCAGCGTACTACCCGCGCACGTGCATTGTATGGAAGATTGGGAGTGTTTACCAAAAGTCACTTGGATCTGCGAGGGTCAAAAAAAATGGCCGGCCCAAGTTCGAAATCGCTATGGAATTCAGTATTCCGGCATCAGCTGTTTGACACTGTCGACCATTTTGCAGAACAAGCAGGGCATATTAGACGAGTTCAAGAAGTTTCTCATAGAGGAGAAAGTGCGCTTGCGACCCGAAGATGGAAAATCGCCAACTGCTTCGCGCATGTCGGATTTTTTCTCGCGAGCATGCTTGCGTAGTTGGTGAACGATTTCCATAGCTGGTAACGATCTCAGGAAACTCTGACGACTGCGGAGACGCAGAACATCCTACGGCTGCTTTGAAACAAAGTGGAGTGCAGCAGCGGTGACAGTGTCCTTGCGATGCCTGGAGCAGTTTGAGGAGAACTGATGCCCGGTTGAATTTATCGGCGAACTCCACTTAATTATTTTTTACACTGTAAAGCTGCCAGGAGATATTCATAACCAAGGTTTCTTCGATTAAATATACGGTCAAAGTGTTTCGCAGTGTTCCCGTCCACCTTTACGTCTATTGGCACTGTTTTTTTGGCTTCATCGCTTTTATTGAACTACTGCTTATATAAAAGTTTTTTGCCGTCTTATTGATTTCGTTATAACGAGGGATTACGGTTGTTGAAAGATACTAGTTGCTGCATAATACAGCATGGCGTGACTCTTCCCATTATGTCAGAAATTTGGACTTGCACTAAGTTGCCCTACAACTGCCGCATGCTGGCTGGCTCTAGTAAGCGTTCGTCGCTCTTCTTAAATAAGGGGCTTTCCCTCACTTTGTGATCCTAATGCCCTTCTACTTTCACGTTTAAAGTATACTTTGTTCCTCCCCAAAGTGGTGAATGTTTACGTGCATTCGGGCCATTGGGGTCCAAGAACCTTTCTGCGCTACTTTGAGTTCTGCTTATTGTCATGTCCGATCACGGCATAATCTGATATGGGATCGGCTCGGACTGCCTGTATCGTTTGCCGGGCTCCTTTCTAGGTCAAAATTGAGTAGCAGTGCAAAAACATTAGACTACTTTGTCACTTACGAATTCTTGCGAAGCTTGGGCACTTTCGTAATTCCGACAAACGCCGAGTATTCATTGACCCTTCTTGCATTCTTCTCTGTTCCTTGCTGAAGCACCTGGAAGTGAGAGACCAGAACGTGAGCCTGGACATTAAGTCTTCGTTCGTGACCTACGGCACACGACCGAAGACGTTGGGCAGTAGCGGAGCCTACCTCTTCCTTCCCGACGACAAGGCAAAGGTGCAAACATTCTCGTGCACGTCGTTTCTGTTGTGTGCAGTTCGCTGCTCCATCTCTAAATGCACAGCATTTGTAGTACCAGCCCTAGGAAATTAGTGTCCACAGCATGTAGCCTCAATGTCGTTTCAGTGCCACGTGACGTCGTCCTAAAGGCGCTCTAAATGCATGGTATTTATGGGACTTCTCCGACGTAGCGGGAAAGCTTGTTGTCGTGCGACGTCACGACCAGGAGACGCCACAATGTGGCATTGGGATGTCATGTCACATTGCCTCAAGACGTCGCATCGCATGACATTGTGATGTCACGCGATGTGACCGGACATCTCGTCATGTGCTTATGTGACGTCGAGTGGCATCGGAATTAGGGCTGGGAAATTGATTGATCAACCTACCGATTAATCCATTAATGCGTTCATCGCGATTCATTTTTGTAGCCGGTTAATCGGTAAAACCTTGACGAACCAAAAGAAAGTAAAAATTAAACGGTTTCACCGCGCAGACGTGGACGAGAACACCTGTATGAAGGGCAAACATTAGGGGAAATCTTCACCCAACGTAAACTGTAGGGACAAGATTGGTGGCTTCAGAAAAGTGCAGAGGAGTTTGAGCATATGCGCCACTGGCCAGAGGATATCAACGAACCTCTTTGCCTCATGCAGCTGAAGTAATGATCTATGAGTGTGAGTGTCTTTGAACATGTCTTAACTACACATTGAGGTTGACTCATAATTGAAATTGCATACTGCATTGTTTATCACAATAGCAAAAAAAAAAAAAAAAATTTGGTTTAAAAATATTTGCAGGGAAATTAAGAGACCGATCAATCGATTAATTAATTGATCAAAGGGTCGCGATTTGTCAGGTTCAAATTTTTAATCGACGCCCAGCCCTAATCGCAATGTGACATTGTGATGGCGCGCGACACTGCATTGGCTTTATATAATCGTAAAACCCTCACAATGGCCCCTGAGTGGCCTCCTGGTCCTCCCGCTAGAGGAGTGCAAAGGGGCCCTATAAATGCTATGCATTTAGACACCTCTAAAAAAAGTCAAAGAGATAAACAATTTTTTTTATTTTTTTTTAACTGGATGGCATTTAATAGGTTTTTTGTATCCAACATTTTCATAAATCAAGTGGTCTAGCGTTTTCTTTTTTTGGGGGGGAAGGGGGAGGAGCAGGGAATGGGTTAAATACAGTTCTTCTTTACGCGAGCGTCAACAAGAACATGCTTGATTTGTAACTTCACAAATGAATTTTTTTAAGAATCATTTTCACTCCTAGGGTAATGCTAATCACGAAAAATCTCAGCAGTAAGAAAAATATAAAAGACAGATGGAAAAGTGTTTTCTAGTCACCTTTTTCACCTAGCCGTTACTTGGCAGCGAAGAGTGGCAAGGTGTTTGTTATGAAAGTTTCACTCTTTACTGTAGCCACTCAGTTCAGGCTTCTTCCAGAAATGCTTGTGTGTGCCCTGTCACAAGTTAGGAAAAGTCTCCGACTCATAGTTTGAGCATATGCGCCACTGGCCTTAAACATTTTCAGGAACTGACGTACAGCCCGCCGTACATCAGGGTCACGGAGGGGGTGCTCTACTCTGAGGTCACTGCCTTCCTGCCTTCTGTCGAGTTTTCTGTCAAACTCAAAAACTCTCCAGGTTGGTGTTCTGTGTAGCAGCTGTGCTCCATTTTTTGTCTCAACTATGTATGCAGTTTGTTTCACATATTTTATTTCATATACCTCGAGAGCATTCAGATGATGCATTACACGAGCGTGGATTTAAAATAGGTAAATAGTACACATATTGACTCAGTAAACAGTAAAATCAATATAAAACAGAAGGAATCGGAACAAGGGAAACTGGATTGCAATTGGTTATGATAGGGTCTGTAAAGTGATCACAATATAGATAAAAAGTGATAATGGGGAGAGCAAAAGGTGCAATGATGCTGGGAAATGGTGCCCTGCAACTATTTTCTTATTGGCAAAGGTTTAAGAATGCATTGCAGTCGATCCCGCTTGTAATGATCCCTGGAATAGCGAAGTATTGGATATAACGAACAAATGCTTGTTTCACTCTCCTAGTTGTCAACTTAGGATGTGATTTTAGCCTACTTGTAAAGCGTGAGACACATGCGCGAAAAATTCATCCGATCTGACGTCCGATCCGGCAGTACGACTGCCTGATCCGAAAAGTTTGGTCACTTCAGACGTCGGATCGGCAATCCGACATGCGTCCAACGCGCCAGATAGTTTTGCACGGCGGACGGATCGTCGGATGCATCCGGCCAATGACAGCACAGCTAGCGCGAGCGTCATGATGACGTACTGGGTCTCTCGGGACCAGGCATGGGCACGTTACCAGTAAAAAGTAACAGTGTTACAGTTACAGTCACCTAGGCGGGGAAAGTAACTCTGTTACAGTTACAGTTACCGGTTTCAAAAAGTAACGTGTTACAGTTACAGTTAATGCAAAAACAGTAACGCCGTTACTTTCTCGTTACAGTACAAAAATTGGACACAAGGAATTACAAACCAAAACAATATATTTTATTTGTTACCCTATACTGAGAAGAAAGGTAAACTGAGAAATTAGAAAAATTTGAACCCGAAAGGTGTTTCTTTTTTGCGGCATTCACCGTTTTCAGCATTTTGATGTGCATAATTTATTTGTAATAATTGTTATAACTTAGAATCAACCGTTTTTCAAAATTGCTATCGGCCCACGTCAGTGAACGTTTTGGTTTATTTTGCACTCCAAAACGAATGAGGAAAAAGATGGTCACATAATGGCCTTATGGGATATACCCATTCGGAAGCAAACCTAAACATAGCAGATTAAACAGCTTCCAAAAAACAAAGGGGAAAGGAGACAATTAGCTTCTGGTGCTTTACGAGTGTACGACCCAACTGTGGAACTCATGTTCACTCAAGCGGCTCCGAAGAGTATGAATAAGTTAAACAAGCGCCGGCTTTCTGCACAATATGGGGACGGCTTCCTTGAAAACTAATGCGGATGAGGAAACGGCGAACGGTTGGGTGTAAAAACGACAGCACAGACATATTCGAGACACAGCCCAGATGGAATACTCGGAGACATCGCACGACCACCGACACCCGCAGGTGGTCCCCACGAGAGAAGAGTGAGCCAAAGTCGGTGAAACAGACATTGTTTGCCGCCCCTACCACCGCGGGCGCCGCTTCCTTTATCTCCCGGTTTCGTGCTGACTTGTCCGTACTCCATTCTCAATCACTACAATTTTTTTTTTTTTTTTTTTTTTTTAATGCAAGGTTACTTTTTTTTTTTATTATTTTTTTTTTTTTTTTTTGTCAGCACGGAGTTTGGAGAAAAATACTTGAAGAATGGCAATTTCTCCATGTCCGCGGCGGTGGGTTCTAATTTATATAGTAAAAAAAAGTAACTGTAACGGTGTAAACAGTTACAGTTACCCAGTAAAAAGGTAACAGTGCTACAGTTACAAGTTACCAGTAATAAAGAGTAACGCGTTACAGGTAAAAGTTACCGGAAAAAGTAACTAGTTACCGGTAACGCGTTACTAGCAACTAGTTACTGCCCAAGACTGGTCGGGACGAACAAGAAAACGGGACGGGCGACGGGAAGCCGGACGCGTGTATCCCGCTGACCCATTCGAGAAAGATGGACCCGGCAAAGAATACACGCGCTAACGAGAACGAGCTTCTAACTTCGTTCTTGTGAGCTAAACCGTCAATATGGGACCAGAGATCTGTGAACGCGGACTTCCGCTGGAGTGCTTGTATCTCCTGGGCGGAGCCGAACGGATCGTCGTGTCGCATGCAAGGTCGGGAGCGTGTGTCTCAAACTGTCGCTTGCGGCGATTTGGAGCGGCGTTCAGACTGTCGGATCGGACGATTCTGCCGTCCATGTGTCTCGCGCTTAACAAACTTGACACCAAAGAAAATTTTTTTTCCCTAGAAGCTGGGAAAATGTTTGCCAAAGGTGGTCATAAACTAAAGGACCAGTATTTCAAGGGAAAATAAAACATTCAACATTGTGGCACCGGGCAGCTCCAGTCGGTGCTAAGCAGCTTCCTCCGAGAGAAATCTTCCCTGCTCTGCACACTATATTTTCCGCTTCACCATGTCACCAGTTCAGCCGTATTCCGTGGGACCTTGGCAACACTGCAGCAGGACACTAAAAGAATCTAGGAAAAGTGCGCAGAGGGGAGGGTTTATCTGGTTAGCCGGTTAGTAGCACGTCGCTGTCCTTCCTCGTAGAGGAGACGCAGAGAGTTCAGTTCAAATTTTTTCACCATCACCACCGCTTTGAACGACCAACATCATTGGTGCCCCGTCATAGATCTGATGTGAAGCACAAAACTGTCTCCCATTGTTTCAAAAGTGGCTGCTCCCCCCAAAGTCGGAAACTGCAAGCTTCCTGTGAAGATGATTAGATGGTGGCAAAAAACGGAACGCAACTTGCCCGCGAGCCATCTGTATATTTACAATGTGCATAAAGAACAGCCCACCTCCAGGTGCGTTTTTGTGCTTGCAGGTGTTTGCTGTTGTAGTAAACACAAATGTGACTGTTGCAGGTAGTTTTCAGTACACATTTTTTTTTTCTTTTTTTAATAGGACAGCGGTATTTATGCCAGCCTGTGTGAGCATTAATTGCATCATAATTTTTACAGCGGAGCTGTTAAGGGCTAGTTTCCCCAGTTTCGTGTCTGTCACCAAATAAATGTTGACACAAAACTCTGGACAGCTACCACCATCTATGAGCGGCGACGGCAACCAGACAACTGGCTTGCTGGTTGTCTGGTTGCCGTTGTCGCTCATAGATGGCGGAAATCTTTCCAGCCTTTCCACTCTGGTTTTCACCAGAGTGGAAAGGCTAAATTTCTCTAGGCGTCGTCCTTGAGGACGACGTCCGAGAGGTTGTTCTTAAGGTCATCCTAGAAGTTATTATTGAGGTCGTCCTAGAAGTCGTCCTTGAAGGTCGTCCTGAACGTGGCCCTTGATGTCGTCCTAAACGTGGTCCTTGATGTCATCCTAGACGTCCCTGAGGTTGTTCTAAGCGTCGTCCTTGAGGTTGTTCTAGACCTTGTTCCTGAGGTCGTCCTAGACGTCGTCCTTGAGGTCGTCCTAGGCGTCATCCTTGAGGTCGTCCCACCATAGTACAGCTTCGCTGGCCTTGCTTCCTTCAAAGTGGAAAGGCTGAAAGTTTTTTTTTTTTGTGAAGTTGAGTTATAACGAAATATAAATATAGTAAACTTACTATTCCCTTATCCTGTCGAGTTAATGTAACCAGGTTTGACTGTATCTATAAGGCTGCACAGCTGTAGGGAAGTCATTGTCCTCAAATTGCCTATTTTTCCAGTGTGCAATCTGTGTCACTTAGGTTATAAATGTATTGCAGCTAACGTTAAAGCTTCATAAATCCTTCCAGGTGTATTTGCTTGTATAGTAAACTTTCGTTAGTTTGACCTCGGCTAATTTGACTTTTCGTTTAATTCAATCATCTTCAAAAGCCCCGCCGACCACCCATACATTTCTATGAGAGGAGAAGTTCGATAGTTCGAACTCGGGAAGACTCCGCATCAGATAATATGTCCGAGCGAATGTGCGTGGGCTCAGATTGCACGACACCACGGCAGAAAAACCACCAACGTCGATCTAAACACGGGCCCTTTGCTGCAAAGCCGAACGTGCACAAATATGCTCCTGCTCCTCTACTCCATTGAGATGGACCGTAGCGAATGACACGAGCCAGCGCAACCAATCTGGCGTGGAGTAGCGCGGAGAACATAGCGCGTGGTCGGACGCAGAGGCAGCGCGTGCTCTCGAAGCACTTTTCTGTGGCATCGTGTGCGGTCCATCTTGCGTGCCAAAAAGCACAAATTCCCTTTTCCTTTTTTTTTTTTTTTTGTTCTTTTTTTTTTGTCGCCGACGGTTTGGTCGCCCGGCGCCAAAGTTGGCTCGTAAAGCTTTCTCAACGCATGCTATCAAAGCGCTTTTCTGTAGCATTGTGTGCGATCCATCTTGTGCGTCAGAAAACGCAAGTTCTCTTTTCCTTTTCTTTTTTTTTAAATTTTTTTCTGTCGCTGACGGTCTGGCTGCCCGGCGTCAAAGTCACTCGTAAAACATATTTTTTATTTTTTATTTTTTTTGTAGTGCGCAATTTTTTGGGGTTGTGATGTTTAGTTACATTGCTCTACAGAGCATGCTTTTAGACACGTGTTTTAAGCGCAGACGGCAGCAGCCCATCCGTGAGTATTGTGGACAATAAAGGGAAGTTTAATTTTAACAATTTTTCTGTCCTTTTTTCAATTCAATCATTTGGATAATTCAACCAAATTTTGGGGTCCCGTCGGGGTCGAATTAACGAAAGTTTACTGTATGAGATAACTAGCAACAAGGTATTTCTTAACTATTATACTTTGGAAAGTGACATCCTTTAAAGGAATACTTCAACAAAATTTGAATTGGCTGCATATAATCCACAACATCCGTAAATGACAATCGCATGTTTGTATTTTGAGCCTGATGGCCGTATTTTACAGCGAAGCTGTTATGCACTAGGATCTAGGAAAAAATGCATCCACAGACGTTGACAGAAAACTCCCCATTGGTCGTGACAAGTATGAATAAATAAAAATAAAAAGAGGGGGCAACCAG